TTCTTATTTTACAAACAAGACACACAAAATTATTTGTTATTATGATTTACACACACACACACACACACGTATATATTTATTAATCTGCCAACCTTTACAATTGTTTGTCATAAATTTTTGTTGCAAACTAACAATAGTGCTCATTAGCAACGTATTTCTCAAACAGTTTTGCAAGTAAAATTAGCTTTGCTTATTAGATTTTAGTACAAATTTTAAAGAATTGGAAAAATTTTGATAATATAGTATCGCACGAAATAAAGTGATGACGAAAGAACAATTATTAACCAAAGGTTAAGAATCGTTTGTTTCCTTTTTTTAGTTTCGCACAAAGGATATATATATATATATATATATATATATATATATATAATAAATGATAAGATAGGGTGACACTGTTCCAAGGATAATTGGAGATCTCGTTACTTCCCACCACGGTGACTTCAATTTGAGATCGACCGATAATGAGATATCGAATCCTGATCCTCTATCTCCGGGCTTCTCTCTCTCTCTCTCTCTCTCTCTCTCTCTCTTTCTTTTTCATTATCCAACGTCTTAGCTGATGTTTCCTATCCTTCTTGGGTTACGTTCAAGCAACATCAATGCAAATTTTGTGTGTTGAATATCTCTTAGCATTATTATTAAACACTTTTGCTTTTCATCATTGTATAGTACATACCGATGTTATCACGTTTCAATGAAGAAATGAGAAGCTATATGATTTGTTCGTTTACGGATTCGTTATAGCTAATATATAATTTAGCTGATCTGTTCTTTTTAAAAATACAAGGATATTTTATTTTTTCTGAATAAATTGATTTAGGAAAGTATTTACCGATATAATAATAATGTATATGCCGAAACAAATTTTCTAACAAACCGTAACGGCCGGGTTTAGTTTAGGCCGATATCTTTGCGTGTAAATCGCAAAAACCTACGTGCGTGTACATTGAAATCTAAGCGAAAGATAATTTCAGGGTGGCAGCTCAAATTGACAGGGCGACGCGTTCCCATTCATTCAAATTACGCACCAATTCTGTCGGTGACTTTGGCATTGTTGCTGTAAATTGGTCCACGCCCTAGCCTCTGGCCTCCCTCTTCTGTTGGAAGTACATGCGCTTGCGAAACGAATGCGTGTGTGTGTGTCCAATTTTTTAAATAACATATTCTGTGTGAAACCATCATATACATGTATGTCTATACGGAATATCCCACAAGCGCATTTTCTTTAAACTATACGCAACGAATTCTTTGTTCAAATTTTTAAATGTGATATATTCACAACTTTTGCATTCCAAATGATTCCAAACAAAAAGAATTTTTAAAAATCAAAAATTTCAGAGAAAAAAAATATATAATAACATATATAAAAAATCTTTCTGTTGTTTAATAGAGAGACTTAATTTGACAATGTGTACAATTTGTCAAATAATGTAATGCTTGTTATTTCTTGAAAACACCTAGTCCATTATATGCAAGCAAGGAGAACATGACACGCGTCTTCGCCATAGGAGGTCGAATAAGCGGGATTGCTAACAAGTAGTCTAAAGAGCATAAAAAATGGGATAGCAATTTTGGACGAGGTCATTTCGACGAGGAGCATGATAATTAACTATAGAACAGCATTGTGGCGCGTGTCACTCGAGTGCTAATTGGATGAAGTAACTGATCTAAAACAATTATAATAACTTTCAATTAAGGGTGATAGTATATAAGCTAGCTAGGATGCTAATGTATAAATATTTTTTAACTGTAATACACGCACGCATACATAAAATTAGAAATTCTAACCGTTTTAACTTGTTTTCAATTTTTGTTATTAAATTTTGTTATTTTGTTAACATAAATTCATAATTAATATGTAAAAAGTCAGTAAGAGGTTGGATTAAATTTTTTGTTACCTATACGAAGTAATTTCTATGTTCTTTTTCACATAGCATGAAAAATTATTTTTTTTTTAATTAACTTTTTCCAGGTTTGGTTTCAAAATCGAAGAGCAAAATGGCGCAAGACAGAGAAATGTTGGGGCAGAAGTACCATAATGGCAGAATACGGCTTGTATGGAGCGATGGTCCGACATTCTTTACCACTTCCGGAAACGATTTTAAGAAGTGCCAAGGAAAATGAATCCGTTGCACCGTGGTTGTTAGGTAAGAGGAAATATTTCTGATAAAAATCTAAAAATCATTAATAATTTTGTCAACTTGAATATATAACATAGCATAGAACGTATATATTTTTAAATGTCTCTTATTAAACTTGAGACTAAAATTATTTATTTATAATTACACCCAAGACTTTTTTCTCTCTCTCTCTCTTTCTGTTTTATCTCTAAGACTAGACAAGATAGCATTAACAATGATAACTTCGTGATAAAAAAAAATAGATTATTTAATGTCTAAGAAAATATGTGTGTGTGTGAAAATATATAAATATAACATATTGCTCACATACATAAGAGATTTTTATTTATTGATTACCTTTGTAAACATAAATAATAATTAGACATTTAATAATTTTAAACTGTATTCTCATTTAATTTTAAAGCAATTTTATTCTATTATTATTATATCGAAAACCGGAAAACATCCTATTTTTCCGTTCCGATAAAATCATTTAAGCTAAAGCGGCGGAACAAATTCCGAATATTTTTTCTGTTTTTCGGTTTTTATCAGCTCAATCATCTAAGACAAGCAGCTTTAACCAAGATTTCGAATATAATCAAGAACTGATTGACTGTGGACCTGTAGGGATGCATCGGAAATCGCTCGAGGCAGCAGAGCATCTCAAATCCGGCGGAGAGGACAGCGGCAATGATCAGAACGGAAGCGGAAGCAGTCCCCATCATAATCATCATCAAGGAGGACCAACCAGTTCGGAGAGTGGACAGGAAAGCCAGGATGGTATGGGACCTTCGTCATCTACAAGTAAGTTTTACTCTAGTTAGATAACACAATATGAATTTCATACAGAAATTTTATGTAATAAATTATACTTTTAAAACAAAATAAAAATTTCTGTTGAATATAAGTATAACAATGGAATTTAAAAAATTATTACATTAAAATTTTGATAAATTTTTCTGCAAATGTACTCTTTTTCTTAAAATTCATAATATTTGTAATGGGAAATTTCATAGTTTGTAATAATATTATTATATAATTTAATCTTTAAAACGCAATAAAAAGTATAATTTTGTATAATATACAATAATACAAATAAAGTGAGAAAATTAAAGAAAAATAACTAATGAAAACCGAAAAATTTCAAGATCTATCTATATACTCAAGTTAGATTATCGATATAACTTTGCAAAATATGTAGCTATAGATATAGACACAATATGATATGTGTTATTGTGTTTACAGATGTCGTGCAGGATACGGAACAACTCAGAAACGAAAGTATTGCTTGCTTGAGGGCAAAAGCGCAGCAGCATCAATTGCAATTGAGTCTGCAACCGACATCGACGCCTCCAAGTGGGTCGTATCCGTCGGCACCTGCACAGTCCAGTACGCTACATACTTCTGTTTAATCGTGAAAATACAAACTCTCTTTCTGATATAATTCCGTATCCGATATTTTTGCTGTTGATGCGGAAGCACATGTGTCCTGCTTGACAGATCATAGAGATGAATCGGCAGCACCGATTTCAAAATCAGTAATATTTTTTTAATGAATATCTTGGCGAAAGTCAATCCTTTCCAAATACAAGGATTTTTCTGAGATCCTTTTATAATTAATCTCACACAGCCACTGCAGCAATGGCGTCGATTGAACAAATTTTTTGTGACACCGGGCCGGCATGTGATTCCATAATAATGTTCTATGTTCCTCGCGTCCTCTTCAAGAGCAGTTCTGTGAATTTTTGCGACCGACATTATCTGCAATGCAATGTTAATTGTATAAAATTCAAAGATACAAGATACATATATATATATATATATATATACATACATACATGTTTATATATATAGATATATATACATGTGTGTATGTGTGTGTATAATTACAACGAAGCGTGGCGAATCAATAACTCGAATTAATGCTTGATTTGCATTATACAAGTCTCGCGCAGTAATCAAGCAGGCCTATAAATCGATACGGATTCACATAATCCTTCCACAACGATTTGACATATGTACAATGATGAAAACGGTGTTTTCCGTGTTGCGTTTCGAAAGATACGAGATATTATCGGAAACTACCGAAATGAACAATGAAATTAATTATTAAGCTTAAATCCTTATCAACGAAATAATAGCCTACTGATGATGGTCTGTATAAACAAATCAATAAAAGATTATCTGTCGGTGAATCCTGTCGTTGATGAATGCAAAAGCGAATATTGAAAAAGAGATTTGTCTAATTAAAAAGAAAAAGTCGATGATAAACAAGGCTTAATTGATTATTCGGTCGACGGTCGATAAGTCTATAATGAATCGAGAACAAACGGAACTACCTAATTAGAATATAATTGCTTTTAATAGCGCGATTGCGTGTCTGTATGCGTCTGTTCTGTGTGTGAGCGTATGCGTAATAACTGCGTGCACAAACTGCAAAAAACATGGAGTGAAGTGTGTGAACAAGAAAATCTGAAGATTACTATCTTCAGAATATTAACCTGCAACGAATATGTTGAGCAACGCAAAGACTAACAGAAATAAAAAGAGAGAGAGAGAGAGAGAGAGAGAGAGAGAGATTATGTGTGGAAAATATGCTTATAGCAAGATTACAAAATATACGAATGTACATCGAAATGAAGCGTACACGTTAAAGACCTCTACGGTATACACATGTAAAAAAAAACATCCCTAAGATTTACAAGTTTAAAAAAATATGCAACCTTCTCGAAAGTTGATATTCGATTGTTAAAAATCAAGTGTATATGAGATAAAGGGAGATAGTATGCATGTAGATATGTATGCCAAATAAAGTGAGTGAGAGAGAAAGAGTGAGAGTGAAAGAGGGGGGAGGGAGGGGAGAGGGAGGTGCAAGTCAAAGATTTATTAGCGAAGACTTCCTATATCCAAGTACTTAAAGAAAAACGTAACTGTTGTCAAATGTGCAATATATCGATATAAGTTCTAGTTCGATAAGATATATTATACTTTAGTAACGGATACGTCTACGTAAGCTGGCAGCCGCGACGACGTCGGTGTATCGTCGGGCGATTGTTATAAACAAATTTTACAATAACATGTCTCTTGAAGATCATGTGAAATGGAAGCTGGAAATGGAATATTGCACATCTAATCTCCTTATGCTTTACATTTTTGCTGAGAATATAAATAAACTTATCCCTGCGTTGCACCGTCGTTTCGGGACGTTCGCCTCCTTGTACATAAATATATATATAAATAAAATTAAACGTGATGGCGAGATACACTAAGCTGGACGAAAACTTTCGCGAGTTTGAGCGTTGAGAGAAGCGAGCATTTAGGTAAGAATGATTGAAAACAAGCTGATTTATTATTTCATTTGTTAAATTTTTACAAAGCATGTAAAATATAAGCTACAAGTCAAAAGTATGAAAATTTTAATTAAGTTTTTCTTTTTAATTGCACTAATTGTTCAAAATAATTGCTGAAAGTTAAAGTTTAACTTGACAAAAAAGCTTATTATCTACGTACATCTGTCCAACACACAGATATTATAATACACATCTGAGCAATTAAGAGAATATAAAAAATTTATTCAAGTTCTAACATGCGATACTTCTTATCTATTAGGGAACTATTTACCGACCGATTGTTTTGTCACTCTTAAATTTAAAATATGTACACTTAAATTTCTACGAAGATGACGTAGGTCATTTCATAGAAACGTAACGTTTTTTGAGCGATGCATTTCGTTTGGCTTAGATCTATCAAGTTAATACACGTAGCGTAACATATTATAATTTAAAAGATTCGATACATGGGAAACGAAGTAACCACACCCATTCTCTAGAAGAAAAGCAAGTTAAGAGTCATAATGGAAGTGACACTGCTGTTATTGTGAAAACACTTAACGATGGACTAAGGATCTACAGCGAATACTCTGTATCCGAATGCTCCAACGCATGCATAGTAGTCGGCTAGTATACGTAATAAATAAAATTTCTGAACAAATATGCTTTTTTTTAATTTTTATTGCTCCATTTACATCATATTGTAATATTATCTTGTAAATGCAGTCGCGAAGATTGTCCTTTCTATTGCAAAATCTGATTACGTAACCTGAAATTAATAATACAATTAATTTAAAAATAATCATTTTTTAATTAAATTATATAATAAAAATAATATACAAAAAATTATCAGTTATAAAAATATTTTTTTTCTAAAAACATTTAATTTTTCAATACAATTGTAATTTCTTAAATAATGTAATAATTTTTTAAAACAACAAATAAAAAAATAAAGCTTTATTATACGCATCTTAAACAATTTTTTAACATAATTTTATTATGTTTGAGTGGGAATTAATGTCGAGAAGGGACCAGGAGCAGGAAGAGCAAGGTAGCCGAGTCGTGAATTCGAGATGAGCGAGGCCCCTTTGATTTTTTCACAAGTTTTTAATTCTGACAAATTACAACCACGCTAATTACAATGACCGTAATGTGAGTAGTATAGATATAGCAGTTGCGAGTGGCGATCTAGTATTTCGCGTAATGTCGCGGCAGTGAGAAGTGCTGGAAATCTCGGGCGAACTCGACGCGGTAGAGAGCGGCAGACGATAGCGACCCGAGACACTTGCAAGATCTGAGCTGCGCGGGAAAAGCCTCCTTTTTATAAGATCGAAAACCTTGCTACACAACACCAAATATGGAAATGTTTGCAAGTTATTTTTTTCCAAGTTGCTTTTCTCGCATTCGGTGCTCTGCCGCCCCCACCGGTCACTGCTCGCACGCGCCCCACATGTGTCGATCATGTTCCGTGCATGCACAGCGCGGGCAAAGGCGCGCGCGAATCGTCCCTCCTCGGCACTTTGAACATATTATCTATATGTATTTAGAAGTATAATTTCTCAATTCATTGAATAAAATAGGTAACACATAAAAATTACCTTATTTAAATCAGTAAAAATCTACCTTATTGAATAAAGAAATTTAAGGACAGGAGTCGTCTGATTATTGATTAATACCGACAATCGTACTTCTCGTTTTTTTTTTGCTTTTCTTGTGCAGAATAAAAAATCCTTCGCCAAAATGCGAGAAAATGTGCATTCATGGGTGTATCAAGGAATTTTTTTCTGAGAGAAGATTTTATCAATCCTGTTATCTTAACACATGAATTTTTTGAATTAATGAAATAAAAATTTCGAGAGGGGGGGAGGGGTTGAACAAACCCCCAAACACCCCCTTGAATACGCCCATGGATGCATTATTTATAATGTGCCGCGTGATATATTTTTTATACGGCAAAACGTCCCCTTCCTAGCGGTGATCCCCTACCTTCTCCCACTACCTAGTGTTCGCGCACTCTCCGCAACCCCGCTGTTTTGTGCGCGTCTCTTTTGGCGTGATCGTCACAAGGGTCGGACCGGGCGGACACAAAAAAGTCAACTCCGGATGAATAGCGTTATCGCGATCTAAATGGTAAAACTCAAATTAACCTTTCGTATTTATATACAACTATAATTTCATTACCTAACTATTATGTAAGTCTATACAATCGGTATTTTGATATCAATAATCAATTCGAATGCGTAAGTATTCCGTAAAATCCATATTCGATTGAAAATGATCGCGCGACAATTATATTCTAATCTCTATTTATAATTTCATCTTGCGTATTCAACTTGTATTACAATACAAAATAATAATAATAATAATGTGCAAACATACATCTTTTATAAGCATCTCACCCATGATTGTTTGAGCACTGCCTGTTTCCTTGTCTTTGGATGCTGAAAATACAAGATTAATTTAGAATCTATGTGTGAAAGGGGAAGAGAAAAGGAGGAATATATATCTCAGATTCAAGGATTCTCTTATTATGTTGCAAGTTGATATGCCAAGGAAAATATTACTGCAGCATTATACAAAATATTTAATATTTTGCAGAAATATATGCGTGTGTGGAAAAAGAATACGATCATCATCGTCATTGTGTTAATAATGCAAAAGATGTAGCCTCACCTATGGCAGATCCTGACGTCGACCAAAACCTCTTAATAGTAGCATATGCAATTGTAGCACTAACGCTCGAATAATGTAATTTTCCTGCGGTGTTCTGTATCTAAAAAAAAAAAAGAAAAAATTATGACCAGTACTTGAAGAGCAAGCTTTTAACTCGTATACTTTAAGTCGAAATTACCATATTTGTAATCTGTGTATTAATGTTAAGTGTCAGAATATTATGAAATGTGTATACACATATTATCAAACTGGCTGGCTGCCACGGTCGTCAAAACGTTTACCAGGGTGGGTACTCGAATTTTGTAAAAGAATTCCCTGAAAATTTCCGGATTTTCCAGGAATTTTATTCAAAATCCCAGATAAGATTAGAGAATTTCTCAATACAGCTTTAAAATAAATTAGGCACTAAGTTCTAATAAAATATAGAACTTGGTGCATGAAACAATTTAATCTTCTCACATGTATAATAGTTACATCTCCATACAAAATTTTTCGAATGTAACGAAAGATTTTGTATGGAGATGTAACTTCATGTGTGAAGATTAAATTGTTTCACGCACCAAGTTCTGCGTTATTAGACTTTTAATGCCTGATTTATTATTTCCGGATTATCGTTTTTTTAGATTGAAGAGTCTTTATATAGTATATGTCAATTTTTAAAAAAATTAACTTTCAATATCAGGGCCTTCGATATGGGGCCAGGTTTACTTTCTAAAGGGATAAAATTAAATTTAAAAGTAAAAAATTCAAAAAATTGCCCTGAGTACCAGTAAAATTCCATGAGAATCCATGATTTTCAAGGGTAAAAATGAAATTACCTGAGAATTCCAGGTTTTTCCCGATAGTACCCTGGTTTACGGTTAGACGGTATTATAAGGTATTCATAGACTGCGCTCGGGGAGCGTGCTATCAGCGCTATTGCATCATTTCATCCTTGTTTTGAGTCTAATTACGATAAAGATAAAATGCAGGTATAATAGCTCTGATAAAAATAACACAATTGCGCAATCCCCGAACGTAATCATAATCTGATCTCGTGTATGCGTAAAATCATCTGAACTTCTGGCATGCCATTTCATTAACTGAAAATCTTAAGATTACTCAATATCACCCAAAACTATCTAAGGCCCTAATTAAAACAATCTTAAATGTAAGTTCAAATTATTAATACGTTTATAGACATATATGTGTAGATAACATTAGAAAAGAGAATGATAATGAAAATCAGATACTTTTCTTGTTCAAGCATGCAAGTTGGCAGCCATTAAAAAAAAAAAGAGATCATCTTCAACGTTATCACATCAACTATTTACTCACACAAAAAGTTCATTTACGCATGCATTATTGCATCATGCATTTATCTGTATGCCTATTTATGCTCCAAGAGTTTAACGGCCATTCTGCTAGTTCTTTCGACTCGTCGTTCCTCACCGTTCCCTCATTCACGATGTTTACGTAACGTGGTGGTCGTGCACAGCACTGCACAGTGGTGGCAGCGGCGGTGGATACACGAGCAAGCCGGGCGCGTTCGAAACGAAAGAGCTGGAAATTATTCCTGATTACTGTCGGCTGCATTGAGACTTTGGTTGTTGTCATGTGGGATAAGAAAGCAATATAAATAGAGAAGGAAACAACGCAGGAGTTGAAGTCAGCAGCGAGGATAGCAAGAAGATAGCAAGAAAGTTTAAACAAATGGATCACGGGACAATATTTAAAAGGAAGATGAATATAGAAAAGGAGACAAGTCTAAGAGGTGCAAGAAGTTTGGCGATAAGATGAAATAGAAATGCTAAATATAGTAATTGGAAATAAAGGACTTAAGGAAGGAAAGGGAAAAAATACAGCAAAGGAAGAAAGAGGAAGGATGAAGCAAATTGTCCATGAGAAAATAGTTTAAAAGAAAAATTGAAAAAGTTGGGATATGAGAATCAAAGGGACAGAACTGTAATAGGAAAAAGTGAAAGCTGAAAGGAAATTTACACCAGAATGTAAGAATGGAGAAAAATGATAAAAACAAGCAAGGAATAAATATACGAAAGAAAAAGAAAGGAAAAAAGCAAAGCAAGAAAGAACAGGGAGAAGCAAGAAGGCAATGAGCTTGAGAGTAGAAATAGGGGAATGAAAAAAAGGATTGAAGAGGATAAGGAAATAGGAGCAGAGATTAGGAGGAGGAAGTAGACAAATAAAGATTGATCAGAATTAATTTAACTGGATTTTTTAGCTTCGGAAAAAAATAAATAAAAATAAGAGAATAGAAATAGATATAAGAGAATTAGGGTGTTAAGAAAAATACAGAAAAAGGTATGTTGGGATTATAGAGAATAAGTACAGTAATATATAAAATAAATACGTAATCTAGATTGCTAAGGTAAGATTTTTGAAAATACTAAAGATGGAAGATTTGAGTGAGGACTTTAAGTAAATGAAGTATAAAGAAAAAGCAAAGGATGTGAAAGATAAGATAAAAATTAGTATGAGATTGTATAAGTTAAAATAGAAATGGGATGTGTGGATAAAAAAAGGGAAACTTGAGTCTTTCCTTTGGTTATAATGAATGTTAGAGGTAGTAGATTCTCTTCTTCAGCTTCATAAAAGCGAAAGAATGATTGACTACTATGTCATAACTTACTGTGTGGCAAATGTTGTCACATCTCGTTGGCAGGAACTATTACACTCGCTCCTAATTTTTTTCCTCATTGTACGCAAGACCTTATCTTGAATAATAATTCTTCTCTTCATTCGCTTGACTTTGACATCCATATGGATTCTAGCGATACGATCCAAAATATTCCAATTGAACAACCGTCAGACGACCAGCAGGCTAATAATGTAAACCTAAAGTCAGTTTTATGTATTATCACATCTTTAAAACACACATCTTGTTGCCTTCTCTTATTAACCCAAATTGTTTCTTACACTATGCAAAAATTTGCAAATGTCTGCATAAAGACAAAATGTCTAAATAAATTTAAAAAAAAAAAATGTCTAAATAAAGACAAAACAAAAGTTTTTATAAAATACATGTATTGTATCTGTTCTTTAGCAAAAAAATTTTTGAAATTTTCAAAAATGTTAAAAATATCATTTCTTCTTTTGTAAGATTTACAGATGGCCATCACGTTGTCTCTATTTATCATGTAGAGACGTGAAAATCTCTGCATAAATATCAGAAATTATTGATAAAAACATTTTTTCAGAAAGTTAGGTTAGTCAATAATTATATAAGCTGCGCAGCACAAATATAACCGTTTGCTATCTAAAGAACGTAATTTTAAAGGCAGATGCAGACTCGTTTAATTAAAAAAAAAAAAAGAATTACCTGTGATAAAAATTGCACTCTCAGAAAATGCTTAGAAAAGCGCTTTATCGTATCGAGTCATGTCATCAGCAGAAACTGTAAACAGCGTCAGCTGCGTCAATGTTATGACTAGGTTAAAGTCCCGCGTAATTCAAATTGTATAAAAAAAATAAAATAAAAAAAAATCAACAAAAAAACAATTTTATATATTATACTATTCCTGTCACATAGCATTGATATTTCCGTTTGCTGAATAGATAGCGAAAAAATTTTGTTAATTGGTTGATGGTATATCTACTTTATAAATCCTAAAGATTTAATGCTTGTAAAATTAAAGTCAAAAACGAAAATTAGAAATGCGAAAATAAATACTTTTACGTGACAGCTTAGGCTGTAAATAGTTTTTTTTCATTTATTTTACACTAATAATATACGATTGCTTTATATTTTACATTTGTACAGTACGTCATTTACAAAATGATTTCTGATAAATTGGCTTACGGTGTAATCTGTTGCGAGAAATATGTATAGGAGATTAAAACCTGAAAAAGGTCAACAATGTCAACAATTTTAATATAAATTTCTGTACAAAATTAGGGTATAAAAATAAAATCTTTAGGAACTTATTTTCATATAACGATGGTGTATATCCATATGGTACATATAAAAAAATGTCTCTTAATTTCTATAGTTTGCTGGAAGACAACTGCAATTCTTTCTCCACGGGAAGCGCTGCGAATCGTTTATTTATATATTCGTCCGTTACGTCGGCCAAGGACATCGGCTTCCACACTGGTTTCTGATCTTTGTCGACCAAGAGAGCTCTGACGCCTGCAATTAAATTGAGATATTGATTAAAGAGCAAGATTTGTATAACGCTAAATTCTATCTTTTTCCCTTCGTAGAAATCGCCGTCTCTCCTCAGGGCGGTACAGGCCAATCTATATTCGACCTTCAAACAATCCGCTAAGGATTTTCCTTTTCCTTCGTCGATTGCCTTTTTGGTGATTTTAAGAGAAGATGGTGACATTTTGAGTAGTGCTTCTATGTTCTTTTGCGCCCAGTCGGAATTATCTTTCTTTAGCCTTTGTGCAGAAAAAAAAATTGTACATTACTGTATTATAAATAAAAAAATATTAATTCAAGGCGAATATCTCTTTTCTTTTTACCTTTCAATTATCTCTTCCACGGATGAGGCAGAGAAACAATTTTCTATCTGCGACATATGCGGTGCCAAACTGAATTCATGATTTAGTTTCGGTTGATATTTGTTTAAAACTGGTTCGATGTCGGCATCACGTAACGTTAATAAATCGCGCTTCAAATCCGCGAGTTTCTCCGACGGTACAAAGTGCGTGGCGATTCCAGCAAGGAGAACGTCGATACCTTGATATAAAAATATATATTTGTATATTATAAAAAATATATATTATAAATATATATTTTAAAAATATAATATATATATATATATGTATTTATAAATGTATTTATAAATGTAAGTATGTATACATATATGCATATATGACCATTTTCAATATATAAAAGTGAATTTGTACCTCTTAATCTGTGCCCCGTCAAGCCTAGATAGATACCCAGTTTGCCTTTCAATCTGGACAAGAAATAAGTCGCACCGACATCGGGAAACAGTCCAATTGCCGTCTCTGGCATGGCGAATAGAGTTCTCTCCGTGGCAATTCTGTATTTGCCGTGTACAGACAGTCCAACGCCGCCTCCCATGGTTATCCCGTCGATGATAGCGATGTAAGGCTTCTCGTATGTCCCGATAAAATGATTTAAGCTAGGGGCAAAAGAAAGGAATGATTTTCCACGTAAACGGATGAAAGATGCATTTTGTTCTCGAACCAGACACTTCTACGTGACACTTACGTGTACTCCCTCCTGAAGAACTCTTCGCCCTGAAGCTGCCCCTTTGGCTCGTTCAACGCCAAGACGAGCGATTTGACGTCGCCACCCGCGCAAAACGCTTTATCACCCGTGCCCTCTATTATCACCAGCTTCTTGGAAGATTCCCATTGCCTGAGAGCGGAATGTATCTTTTGGACCATGGACAAAGTTACGGCGTTCAGTGCCTTAGGTCGATTTAAAACTATCACGCCGTTATCCCCGACCTGTACGCATACGTAATTAATACTTAACTACAATCAATTCTGATAAATTAATAGTATTTGGTAAAAAAAAAATAATGTAAAACATACATCTTTTATGAGGACCTCATCCATGACTGTTTGAGCACTGGCTGCTTCCTTGGTATCCTTAGATGCTGCAGTAAATGCAGGATTAATTATTAGAATCTACTTACACGTGAAAGAGAAGTAAGAGAAGGATGGCATAAATATATATCATAAGATTTAAGGATTTTCATTTCACTATTATAAGTTGATACAATCCCAGCAAACACCAAGTTACATGTAACGTATTTGTTAGTTGTAATTTCCCACTCAACAATATAACAATAATATAACACATGTGTGTTATATTATTGTTATATTGGAAATTACAACAAATACGTAACTTGGTGTTTACTGGGATCAGAAAAACGTTCATGCATTATAGAAAATATAGTAATATGCAGAAATATATTTTTTGTTCGTGTGAAAAAACAAATTACGATCGTCATCGCATCAATTTGATGCAAGAGATGTAGCCTCACCTGTGACAGATCCTGATGTCGATAACCATCTAACGGTGACACGTGCGATCGTAGCACTGACGCTCGAGTAATGTAACTTCCCTGCGATGTTCTGCATCTTAAAAAGAAACAACATTCGGCGACATCGGTTATACCTGTAGCGCAAGTTTTTTTAACTCGTACTTTAAGTCGAATAAAATTACCATGTTTGCAATCTGTAAGTATTTATGCTAATGTCAAGTGTATATATTGGAATAATATGAAATGCGTATGTATATATGTATTATCGAGGCTGCTGGCTGCCGTGAAACGTCCACGTTAAGACGAAATTATATAAGGCGGTATTCACACTCTGGATCAGCTGTTGACGTAAAATCTCCGTCTGAAATATGTAATTTGGCGTGCCTTTTCATTGGCTGAAAATCTCAAGATCACTAAATCCAGGAACCACCTAAGCTCTAATTAAAGCAATATGTAAACTTAAATGTATAAAAAAAACTCGAATTGTAAATAAATACCCGCCTTGACATAAGTATACATAGAACATTAGTAGAGAGAAGATAACAATGAAAAATGGATGTTTTTGTCTGACAATGCAAATTGGTGGAGTAAAAAAAAATAAAAAGAGAGAGAGAGAGAACCTTTTTCAATGATCTCATCAGCTGTTCTCATCTCGCGTATCAAAATAACAATTGAAATTGAGAGTGGATTGGAATTTGATCGATCGGAGGAAATTTTAATAAACTTGAGACTCGTTTTTCTTTCTTCTGATTGGCTAAATCCCAATTCAATCTCAATCTCGATCTTCGCCAGTCTGACATAACGCGAGCTCCGTACACAAAAAGTTGATCTACATACGTTTCGTGCTCCAAGTTTGACGGCCGCGTTCCGCTGGTTCTATCGATTCGTCGTCGTTCCCTTCCCCATCGTTCCCCCGTTTCACCGTGTTGACGTGGTGACCGACGTGCACGGCACGACGACAGCACCGCGCGCGCACGGTGGTGGCGACGGCGTTTGCGGACAACACACGAGTGCAGAGCAGGCCGGTCGCGTTTTTTCGTGCTTCAACTCCGAGCTGGAAATCACTCCAGATCTGACTGTCCGGTCCCCCCGCGCGCGTTCCAGCCTTCCGTCATGCTGCAGTCGATATTCGACGATGTGCGGCGTATGAATAAGCGCCAGGTAAATAAAATAATCGTACCCCTCGCGACGGGACGAGACGGTCGTCTCTATCGCGATTCGGCGGCGGCGGCGGCGGCCGCGGCGGTCGCATATGGTGGCCGTGCGTACACGAGCTCTCTGACTTTCAGTTTCTGTATCAAGTGCTGAGCTTTGGCATGATAGTCTCGTCGGCGCTGATGATATGGAAAGGCCTGATGGTGGTCACCGGCAGCGAGAGCCCCATCGTCGTCGTACTGAGGTACGGAGCGTGTATAACCTAAACCTCGCCTCCCGAACTACTACTCCCGTCTACGTGACGTGTAGCGTTGCGTTCTCAATTAATTTTTAATTGGCCGAACGTACCGCGTCGAAATCGATATCGCCCCGCCTTTATAGGCAATCCAACGCACGCCAAATGTTGCCGAAAAAAGATGTTCCCTGCTGTCTCGCGCTACCAGTGTACAAGATACACAAGGTAAACGTACCAATGGCTGGAACATGCATCTATATCTGAACACGTACACAAAATTTATTAATCTCAAATACTTTTTTTTATTGCAATGTCAAAATTTAATTGTAAAAATATTTAAAGATTACAATTAAATTGTAATATTTAAAAAAAAATCATTTAAAAATAAATTTTTGTTCAGCTATAGATACACGTTCAGTCACTGGTACGTTTACCCTGCATGGAGATACGGGACTCGTTAATGCTTAAATAACTGATTATTTGTATCTATTGCATGTTATTATAATTCAATGAGCGTAAAACATGGGAATGTCGAGCGACATTCAATAGACCAGCAATTGACTCTTGCCGATTCCTTTTACAGCGGCAGTATGGAGCCGGCGTTTCACAGAGGCGATTTGCTCTTCCTAACCAATTATCAGGACGAGCCGGTGAGAGTGGGCGAAATTGTCGTTTTCAAAGTCGAGGGCAGAGACATACCCATTGTGCACAGAGTACTTAAGCTCCATGAGAAGTAAGGGCTCCTGCGACGTTTTCTTGATGATACGCAGCGTATAAAATTTCACAAAGGACGATTCTAAGAGGCGTGAAAAAAAAAAATTTTTTTTTCTAGGGGCGACCAAAATAACACGGTCAAGTTCCTCACGAAAGGCGACAACAATTCTGTGGACGATCGAGGCCTGTACGCCCCTGGTCAGCTGTGGCTGACGCACAAGGATGTGGTCGGCCGGGCGAGAGGCTTCCTACCCTACGTCGGCATGGTCACTATATACATGAACGAATATCCTAAATTTAAGTATGCAGTATTAGCGTGTCTTGGACTGTACGTTTTGGTACACAGAGAATAAAACTGCTCGATAAGTTTAAACGTTTACGTTGCGATAAGTCTGACTGTTGTGTGTGTGTGTCTCTAGGGGGAATGCGCGGTTTATCGGTCATTTCAATAAACATACGTACATACGCAATAAAATATAATCGCGCATACTGATCTTTGACTCTTGTAAAAGTATTAATATTAAATATTCAGGCCTTAAAAGTTAAAACATTTCAAAATGTTTTATTAAAAAGTGCATTTCCTTGTATATATATATATTCGAGTATCAATAATCTAAAATTAGAAATTTTACTAGAAATTGTCGCGAATAAATTTTTACTGAATATTTTGTCTTGATTTTCACATCAAGATGTGCACGAGATCGCGATGTGAATACTCTACACTGAGAAAAAAAATTACTTAAAACAAATAAATATGTTTCAGGTACCCCTCAAAGAAATAATTTTCTTGAAGCAAGTAAAATTTTTTTATTTTAAGTAAAAGTGTTTGCACTGAGAAAAAAATTACTTAAAACAAAAAAATTTTACTTGCTTCAAGAAATTATTTTTTTGAGGGGTACCTGAAACATATTTATTTGTTTTAAGTAATTTTTTTTCTCAGTGTACGTAATAAAGGACCATCGATAATAAAAAAATGATTAGAGATACAATTCTCTAGTCTCAAAGGGCTGTATTGAGACGCGCGCGTGTCTGTTTTGCTATAACGGCAATTTATGAAAGGCATTATTTCTAGCTATAAACATCGCAAATGTCTAAAAGACATCGTAAAGTTAAAGAAAAAAACTAAGCAATTTTCTTAAGAAATGTTCGCATTTTTGTGTTTCTCAGGTAATAACACATTTATAAAAGTGACGCCACGATCACTGTTCGTGACACGATAAATCTTTATGGTACACATATAGCATTTATATAAACTATTGTTAAAAATAAAATCATAATTGTTTATTTTCCTCTGCTTCCACTCGAAAAGAGTGACGTACGTATTGTGTATAAAACCCGAAAAAAAAAAAATAAATTTTATTGTAATTCTTAGTGCACAATAATTATTTTTAATAAAAACTCATTGAGTTAAATTTATAATCTTTGCGTACAATTCTAACGCAATCAAGTCATTTTTTTTTTAAATCTCGTAATAATAAATGTTGCGTATTTGAGATTTCACAAGTTAATTACTCAGTAACTAAAAGCAAACGATAAGATGTAATTGCGTGCTTCATGCAGTTTATCATTTCGCGAACATATGTTCTTGCCAATAAAAACTTTCGTGTTATCAAATTAAAGATAAATCGTACGTATTCACAAGTCATACTTGGTATTGCGTGATAATTTGTAATTGCGTGATAATTTGTAATTGCGTATCTAACTAATAGCGGGACAAGACGTGGCTATCACTTATTTTAGATTGCTTATTATCGTGGAAAAAAAACGAATAATTAACGTGATTCTAAGCGTATCCACAGCTCTTTGGGAGTGACGATTAGGCCCGATAATTTGTCCTCGATTCTCGATGGCTCACCCTCGACGAAGAAGAAGTTAAAGTTCTGCAGCAGAAGAGCCACTGCGCTGTACATGGCGTATCTGGCAAAAGTTTCTCCTGCACACAGCCGATGACCTAATACAAAAGGTTTCTTGTACAAAAAAGTTCAGTAGAATTTGTTGAACTTCCATTAGATCACGTATATCGACTTACCGAAACCGAAGGGGAGCGACAAATCTTTGGCTAATTGCCCGTCTTCCCTCAGAAATCTTTCCGGCCTGAAAACTTCGGGATCGCCCCACATGTCGGGATCGTGGTGCATCGCCGCCAAATTAGTGAAAATTGGCGTGTTCGCCGGTATCTCGTAGCCTCCTAACGTGGTTTTCGTCACGTTCTTGTGAGCTACGCTGAGAGGCGTGAGTGTTTCGATTCTCAAGGTTTCTCGTATTATCGCCTCCAAGTAGGGTAAACTGAAACAAAATGAGAATATTCTAGATAATTACTTTGGATATCTGTATATCTGATACTGCTGAATACAGTGTAATTGAATATATGCTAATATCTGAAAGTGATAAAAATATTATTGCGTAAAAGAATCGTTTGAACTTAAAAAAAAAAAACAAAAAAACTGAACCGACTTTTAGCGTCATCCAGCGTATTGCTATCTTTCTTTTATATTTTTGCACAAAGCATGCATCATACATATATTCTTTTAACTGCACGTTTGAAAGATTTGTTTTCAACTTTAGAAGAGATAAATTGTGTCGCAATTATTCCTTTTTTACTCAAAGAAAAAAAAATAATAAATGATGCACAATTTCAATAATTCAAAACATGTTTTCTCATGAATAAAAAAAAATTCATTTCATAAAATTGAAGAATAAGAATTGAATAATTTTTGGTACAACTTAATTTTAATTTTTTTTTTATAATAAAATTAAATTATATTGCGAAATATTAACTCGCGCGGGTCTGCGTATTCACTGATAAGATATTTTATATTAATATTCTTGTTAAAATTCATCCTGTTATTTATCAATATTAAACAGGAATTATTCTTTCTCTCTCAAGTGTACAATAATAATAACTCACTCTTTTCTATCTTCCCATGTGACTAGTCGTCCGGTCCCGACAACAGCATCTATTTCCTTTCGTGCTTTTTCCATAATTCTGGGATGATGCATCAAATACTTGAGAATATGAGTAACAACGGTTGGTACCGCAGATAAAGCGGGAAACATCATATCAATTGTCAAAATGATCAATTGTTCCTCCGTAAAACTATCCGGCTTATCATCTTGGTTCATTTTTTTCAGATATCTATCGATGAATCCCCGATCATCGTTCTCATTGATAGTGCTTTTTTGATGCTTCAAATATTTCTACGGAATAAAATGCACAATTCTTTTTTTTTTTAACTGAGATACTCGAAAACGTGAGCAAGCCAATAAATGAATCGCTATACTGTTTAAATTTGAAACTTTGAGAATCATTTAAGCTATAACGATATACATGTAGTAATTAATTTAAATACACATTTGGAAATGGGAAAATTTGATGTCATTTGATGTTCATTCAGTTATAATTGTTTGATAAAACGACTTACCTTGACTATAGCTGTCAATATGTTGCTTGATTTCATGTGATTTTTGTAGCCGAACATATTACCGAAGTATTTCAAGAAAGGTCGCTGGAAAATGGCACCGCCGGTTGTATCGTTTGCCCTTTGGAACAACATAGCCGTACGACAAATAAGCCGACACATATCGTGCTCGCTTCTGTCAAATCTGTGACCGAACATAATGTTCCATATATTGTTGCACGACGACGCGTACAGAATGTCCGGGAAGAGCGCCAAGTTGCCCTTCAGTATTTCCTATAAGTAATAATATTCTTCTCTATCCTTTTCTTCATTGACAGATTCAGAGGTCGGTAAAATAACTCATACAACTTATTTAAAATAACAAATATAAAATAGATTCCAAAAACATATTTAAAATATTAAATATAAAATAGAGCAGAAGATATTTAAAATAATAAATACTAAATAATTCTTTTACTTTTTGTTATTTAAAATATATATTTTAAATAATGTTATTTTAAATACGACCGACCCCTGGTCACAGATTTTTTTATATTATACTTTATACACTAATTTACATACCTTCTCTTGATCGTAAATGGGTCCATTCTTTAGGATATCGAGAAATAGTGTCATCTCATCCATGATATCTCTCTCGAGCTTCTCCTGACGTCGACCGAATCCAAAATCGCGCATATGACGGAGAGCGAATCTCCTCTGTTCATGCCACTGCGGGCCATCGATGAAAAATATACCTGCGTATATAATTTTGTTTATTAACTCCTCGTAAAAAAAGCTCATTATTTACGCTTTTAATTGTCGATATTGCATAAATGATTCCAATCTCGGAAAAACGCAAGATGTTGTTGTCGCAGAAGAATTATTTATTGCGTATACATTGAAAAAGAAACAAATAATTGTATTTTTACCTAATTCCTTTCCGAAAGCTCGATCTTTTATAAAATCCGCATTCGTAACTCGGTTATCGAATTCTTCCCTTGAGAGCACTTCTTTTATGCTTTCGTAATCGTTCACTATTATTATAAAAACATCACCGAAATAGCAGCTGATAATCTTTGACTTCAGTTTCTTCACATAATAATCGACGGCCAAATGGGGGAATTTGTAGTTTCCCCATAACAACATCCAATAAGATCCACCTATCGGAATTCTGATAATACCTATCTCGGATCAATATAAACAATGGTTAACAATGATTGATAAAATCTGTTAGAAATAGTTTAGAAATTATATATAATAGACAGAATTTGATTTACGCTACGGAGATTTATTATAAACATAAGAACAATAATAAAACAAAATATAATAAATACAAGCTTTTTTTCTACAAAGAATTAGAGAAAGTAATCAATGGATAATAATAAAAGCGGTGCAATGTGATTTGATATTTCATAATGAAGATCGAGAAAAAGTCGAAATTAAAAAAAAATAGTTTATATAAATCTAATTTCATCTTACCTGGAGGTGTATTAGGCGGTTTATCGTAAGCGAATCTATATAGTTTATACGCCACAAGAAGCGTAATTATTACGAGTAAGAGCGGCGACATGATTTGAACTGAACAAGTAGTAGATACTAAATGAACGCTTGGCGATTCTACGCGTGTTTTTAAGCCTGTTTTGCGTAATCGCTACGACAGCAAGCGGGGTACAAAGATATGAACTCTTAGCCAGATAAAATTTGTCCTCAATCTAACATACTTCCTCAATGCCAAGTATGCGTTGTTATTATGCTTATTTAACACGATGATTGGCATCATTTAATTTAAAATATATTAAAACAAAATTTCAAAGATAATCTCTATATATTGCAATCAAAACTAGTTGTCCGATCCAATTAGAAACAAATATTTACAAAAGGTGCGTGATTTGACTTCTGCTTTCGCTATATTGAAAAATATAGTACCTATTAAAAAAAACAAATCTAATTAATCTAGAGTCTAGACATTAATATAAACGTAGAAGATAAACACTACAAAAGATACGTGACTTAGCATGATAGTTATTGTAAACATCACAAGTAGCTTAGTAATCAGCTCTTGAAAAAAACAAGTTTGATCTAAAAGCGTAGAAAATATACGAAAAGATATAAAGAAAAAAACAAATAGCATATCACATGCGTCAGAAAATAAAATTTTAGTAATTAGTTTCTAAAAAACAAATTTGATTGATCAAAAAGCAGAATAAATATAGAAAAAAAATTCAGATAAATATTACGTCATTTCACAGAAAAAAAAATTAGCTTCTGAAGAACAAATTTCATTAATCAAAAAACATGATAAAACTTGAATACAAAAATAAAAAGAGGTCTAAATGTTACATGTTATTTCACAGAAAAAGAATAATTGGCTTCTGAAGAAAAAATTTGATTTATCAAAAAATGATGAAACGAATATAAAAAGGGTCAGTTCAGATAAATAATATACAAAGTCATTTCACAGAAAAAAAACATCCGCTTTTTTTCTTTAGAGTTACTTCTCATATGTATCTTTCAGATTATTGTACCAATTATCTTCATTAAGCAAACAGTTGGTTAATTGAGATTCGCACGCACATACAACTTGATTAGATCAATTCCTTTACTTTCAATTCTTCGAATTCCAAAGAAGATAAATTGAGTTTTACAAGTTATACGGAGTTGTAGTATAGAGTATTGAGTTATACGGAGAACGAATGCATAGTACTCTATCCTATACAATTCTTCAGTTAATACACAATGATTACTCAACAATTAGTCACAAATGATGTAACTGATCGACTAAAGTCTACGGTACACGATGTGTTTTTTCCTGCTGGATTGCTTGTGATTTAAACAAATTACTAGAGTTGTGCAGAACGCAGAATTTTTAGTAATTTGCTAAATCGTAAACAATATCCAGCAGAAAAAAAGCGCACGGTTTGCCGCAGGTTTAAGAAGTTGCGTGCGTGATCTCGTAGAAGCTCGATTTTTTTTTCGCAATCGCGTATTGTACTGAAAAGAACGGACGATTAAATGTTACAATAAATTCTAACAAAAACGTTTACTTTACAAATAATTGATATATTGATGTTTTTACATCACAAATAAAATGTCTAAGTACCTATTGCGCTTCGCTTTTATCTCTGCACTATACATAGAGGTTTACACGAGAATATAATATTTCTATCAGCGCATTTTTCACACACACATTATATAGAATACATCATCGTATATACAAATACGCGACTGTGTCGCACGGGTTTTTTTTTTTGTAAAATTATTCGAAATACTTGATATCACCACCCTGGCATACGACCGGCAATCTACTGTTGAGCACCGAACGCATTCGGTCGTCATTAATTACCGTGCAGCCCACATCCGGCGACAGCTGATACAACATGCAAATGCAATCTTCCAGATTCTGCATAATCGCACGATCGAACACCGGCGTCTCCGTCAGGTCGCAATGCAACTTCAAGAATATGGTGTAAAGCGGGGCACAGTGCGCGGCTACTCGCAGGCGAAACATCAAGAGGAACGTCTTTGCCGTCTAAGTAAAAGGGAAATACACAATCCGAGATCAGTGTCCATTTTTATTTCATATTGTTATTTGATTTATCGACAAAAAAAAGAACAGGATGAAACTTGAATATAAAAAGAGACAGTTCAGATAAATATATGCCATTTCACACAGTTTTGTTTTATATATTACGGCGCGTGCTATCGTATTTTTTAAGATTGTATACCTCCAATGTCGCCTTCAACGTCCTTAAATCCGTGTGATGTTCGCAGTATTCGGCAAGTATGCGAACGAGCGCTCCGCACCATTTGGCACAGCCTATATTTGTAATGAGTTGAGGTAAACTCAACATATATACATGCCGTAATTCAATATTCTGCTCAAATTCCATGTTCTCTATCAGGGTAGAGAGAACCGCATCACGTGTCGTCCACTAAAAGGGTGGAAATTATTGTGTCATTCAAGAGACCGAATCGACTGGCTGAATCAGCCTCCGTACAATCCTGTCGAATAAAATTACCTCAAACAGATTTATAGTGTTATCCCAATGTTCCATAGTAGCCAAAAGACTGGCCATGCAGGTGTACAGTGGAATGATGTATCTCGCTTCCTTCTGGTGTGTCAAAAGTTCCAAAGCGTGATAAATCAGTTTAGCATAGCCAGAGTCTATCAGACCTTTTTTCTAAAATATATTTGTCAAGTGAATACAATTTTGAGATATGTTAACATATGTATGTGATAAATAAATTCTTGTTACCATGTAAGAGTGTTGTATAATCTGGTAAATACATTCCAGGCCTATTAGGACATTATCAGGGAAATAGTCATCGAGAATAATTAGGGCAGTGGGTAAAACATCTCCGATGTAGTTAAATAAAATTGGTTTCTGTAAAAGAAAAAAAATATAACATATCTATATACATATATAATCTATAAACATATATATATACATAATCTAACAACATACATGTTAGAGGAAAGGATAAAAGCAAAAAGAAAAGGGAAATGCAAAGAGAATGGGAGGAAGAGGGAATTGAGCAGGCGAAATATAATGAGAGATATAAGGTCATAATGGCAAGGAGAAAAGGACCAAACTACTTATGGAAGGTAAATCTTGGGAAGTCTAGGTTGAGAAAAGGTGTAAAAGCGTTGGCCAAATTAAGGTGCGGCAACTTCGAAGAAGGGAATAAATACTGGTTGGAGGAAGACATTAGGACATGCATATTCTGTGGGGAAGGTAGGGATAGATTGGGACACTACATAGAAAATTGCGGAGTTTCTAAGGATTGGTTTTTAGAGTTGGATGAGGATAAGATGGAGATAAACAGTAGGTTATTAGATGAGAATCTAGATGAGGTGAAAACAGGAGTTTTAGAAAGATTGTGGAAGGCAAGGAACAAAGAACTCAAAAAAAGAGAAATTGAACAATAGAGAGTAAGGGTGATAAATGAGGAGAGTAAGAGGCGGAAGAGAATGAAATATTGGATAATTAAGAATAAATACAGTGTTAGTGTTAGGTAATTAAATTTATTGTAAATAAATGTAATAAGAAGGCTGTGAAAATAAGTGATAATAAATGCTGTGATATATAGATTAAGGTAGATATAAGTTTAGCAAATAAGAATAAGTTAGTGTATAAGAGAGAAGGGTATGTATAGGTATGTATAGGTGGAGAAAGAGAAAATGTAAAATGATACTAGATTAAGGTATGGATGGTATGTGTGTGGTTGAGAAAAATTGTAAACCAAGTCCCTTCTTGGCATACTGTCAAAATGCTGAAGTAAATAAATTCTATTCTAACAATACACGAGATAAAAGGATCTAGGTAAAACTGGACTTACTTCTGCCTCTTGCAAAATCCATCTGTAACACGCTACAGCGGTCGGATAGGTTTTCCAGGTATCCTTCAGCAATTTAGGTCTCAACATCAGCAACAAGTCGCGTAAATTCTCATTCTCCGACAAGAATTGGGAGACGCTTTGGCAGGCGTACAGGTCGCAGAAACTGGCGAGCAGTTCCTTGGAAATGGAGACGCACTCGGCTGTGTTCCAAACATTCCTCCCGCTGTGCTCTCCGACGAGCAGCAGCAGATTCATGCCGAACGTTCTAACTATTCCCGTGGCGTTGCTCAGCCGGAGGTGCCTCTCTCTGCAGCCGTCGGAGATGTGCTGCAGCATAGACCTGACATTGCGCAGGTTCCTCTCCACGACGAGCCTGTACTCTCGGTAGTCCCTCTCCTCGCACGGACGCTCCGCCCCGGCCGTTCTCTGCGGCGCGAGACTCCTCTGAATCAGGTCTACGCACGGTACCCACAGGGAATTGTCCTCGCAGAAATCGCCCCTGATTTTCAGGGCCTCCAGCTCCTTCAGCAGGTCGTCCATTCTCGCGGGTGTCTCGAGGACCGATCCGGATGACGCACGGTGTATACCTTCGGTAATTCAATCTTCTCTAGACGTACTCCGGGCGGAGATCACTTTGCGTGCCGCTTACCGGAACGATCGACCGTCTCGGCCGTTTGGAGAACATTCTGCTGGACGGGTCTCGGAAACTCAACGAGGTGCGTCTGTTCGTTGGTCGCCAAATTGGCCTGCGATCTGCGAACATGAGCGGATGGGCATTCTACAGACCGACGCGGATCTCCGCGCGATGCCGCGATCTCGTCGACCGCGGGGGAATACGCGGTGGTCCTCGGGACGATCCCGAGATGCGTTTCCGTGTACTCGCTGTCGGGAGACTCGTACTTACCGAGGCTGTGCACCACCGGATCTGTCCGTATTCCGTCGGTCGGTCGGTCGGTCGCCCACGGTGGATCGCAACGCGACGCAGTTTAGGTAACAGCGGACGGTGGCACACGCGACGGTGGACACGAGGGCGGGCGGACGCGGTCGCGACGACGCACCGGGTGCGGGGCACGGAGACTCACTCACGGGAACGCGGAAGAGTCCATGTTCCCCGTGAAACTGCTAGGCGCACCACGGGAACGCGCGGTGCTCGGAGACATCGGGGCCGAAATCATGATGTATTTATGATACAAGTGGCGTTACGTTTGTAATTCGCACGATATCTCGCGAGCGTCGGGATCGATACGTCGCGGCGATAACTGACGAGATACACGTCCAGCCACGTGACCGCGCGGCGATCGCGCCTCGCGACTCTTTGAGGATCCATCAATCACCGCGGCGACGATATCATGGAAATTCGCTCGACTATTGAAATTTATTAGATATCAATTCATAAATACACCGATGAGATACTGTTAGTCCCGAAACACAATAGATGTGATAAGCCGTAAAAAATGGACCAATCGCAGTCGAATGTGAAGAGAATAATCGATTACGATTGGTCAATTTCTTACGACTTAAGGCTTAGGGCGAATTCACACCTTGACAGAAAAGCGGAAAACAGAAAAGCAGAAGCCAATCAGAAATTCAGAACTCGTACTGGTAGCAAGAAAAGCAGAAAGCAGAAACTATTGACTACCAACGCGAGTTCTGATTGGCTTCTGCTTTTCTGTTTAGCCGGTTCTACATTAGTTGTAAGCCCATCGCAAATTTGTTGCGACAGCCAATCCAAAGCATTAATTTCAAAATGCAAGCTTCAGATTAGTTGTCGCAACAAGCTAAGGTCGGCTTGCGACTAATGTAGAACCGGCTTTTTCTACTTTTCTGTCAAGATGTGAATTCGCCCTAAAGGAGAATTTACATCTTGACAGAAAAGCTGAAAACAGAAAAGCAGCAGCCAATCAAAACTCGCGCTGGTAGCAAGAAAATCAGAAAGCAGAAACTATCGATTACCAGCGCGAGTGCTGATTGGTTCCTGCTTTTCTATTTTCTGCTTGTCAAGATGTAAATTCGCCCTAAAGGAGAATTCACACCTTGACAGAAAAGCGGAAAACAGAAAAGCAAAAGCCAATCAGAAACCTCGCACTGGTAGCAAGAAAAGCAGAAAGCAAAAACTATTGACTATCAACACGAGTTCTGATTGGCTTCTGTTTTTCTGTTTTCCGTTTTTCTGCCAAGGTGTGAATTCGCCCTAAAACACCGGTCGCGCTTCTCTGATAATCTAGGACATTACTGAAGTGGAACTGCAACAGCTGCAAAAAAAAGAGGACAGACCGGATAGTATCGACAAAAGGGCTGCGTTCAGGAAATTCACAATATATCATGTTATCCTTGTTATTCACCGAATGTTAAACAAGGATAAAATGATATCTAGATGCACCTAGGCGAAGTTTCTGAACACACAGCCAAGAGGAGGATCCTCTCTGGTATCGATTAATCGATAATCGATATACACATATCGCGACGTGCGTGCGATCGCAGCGACTCGATTGTACAATATCGCTCGCGCGCGCACGTGTGCTCGCCTCGCGGCCATCTTGTATACCTTCGTGCGCTTTTTTTTTTTACATGAATTTCGGGAGCTCGGTAATTATATGAATTAATGAGGCTGCTAGTAGCTGGTAGTTGCGAATAATGGCTGAGTACCGTTAGTTGATTTTCTACTCCCTTTTCTTTTCTTTTCAATCTCCAGATCGGTGTCGCGCCGTCGGCGCGTCTCGACGCGGGGATCACGCGAGCGGAACGCCGCCGTATACGTCAGGCGGTGCATGTGTGTACGTGAATGCGTGTATGTGTCGGTCTGTCCATCTTGTCTCCCTATTTCCTCTCTGGACGCCGCGCCCCTGTCACAATCTAATATTTTCATCCCTTCGACCGCTCCCGTCGAACTGGCTCTCGCTTCCCGTGAAGAAGGTGCCGACCGTATTTTCGTTGTCAGAAATTATAACGTAATTTTCTCTCTTTCTCGCGTCGGAGAAGCAATCGTGGTGAAATCCTACTTGCGAGGCCGTTCCGAAGCTATAAAAACCGTCAATAAATATACCTCTTGTGCTTCGCGCGATCGCCGTTTACTTTACTTAATTTGTACTTTTGTTCTTGCAACACGTTGTGCTTCGCGAGACTAATTTAATAATAATTTTCAACTGTGGCGAAATTCTTGCACATGTAACATCCAATGTCTTTTTTCTCTCCTGCCCCTCGAGAAGGATCAGGATCCTACTGCGTGTCGTCGGGGGTGGGCAGTGATTCCGAGGTCATGGCAGAACTGGCGGCACTCCTGCGACATGAGATCCCCGAGGGGAGGAACAACCTGGCCGACAGCCACACGAATCTGGAGAGAGTGGCGGAGTACTGCGAGGCGAACTACTTCCAAGCGGAGAACAAGCGGATCGCCCTGGAGGAAACGAAGAATTACACCACCCAGTCCCTGGCCAGCGTCGCGTATCAGATAAACACCCTGGCGTACAACTTTCTCCAGCTGCTGGACCTGCAGACGTCCCAGCTCGCCGAGATGGAGAGCCAGATGAATCACATCGCGCAGACAGTCATGATACACAAGGAGAAGGTGGCCAGACGGGAGATAGGTGTCCTGACCGCCAACAAGATGACGACTCGCCAGTACAAGATCATCGCCCCCGCCAATCCCGAGAAGCCAATTAAGTATGTCAGGAAGAGCATTGACTACACGATCCTAGATGAAATTGGGCATGGTGTTCGTAGCTGCGGCACACCACGGAGCAAGCAGAGGGGAGGTAGTCAGGGCAGCGTTCAGAGTTTAGGTGCTGCTTCCACAGGTTCGGGCTTAGGCGCTGTTATCGTGGGGCCTGCTCCTACCACCAAACCGCCCACACCGCCTCAAACAGTGAGAACTGGTAAGAATTACATATATATACATATATATATAAATATATACAAATATATATATAACGTACGTACAGAATGTTTGGCAGTACTGCTGCAAGTGGGAAAATTTTCCTTGTCCTCGCACCATCTACGAGGACTTATCTGTAGCTGCACCAAACATACTGTATACACAGGGTGTCCCAGATACGCTCTGGGACACCCTGCGTAAGCGCTAGGAATTGTACGAGTGCTACACAAACTTGTAAAGGTGTACTTTTTCAGTTGCGGTTATAAAAAAATTAGAATCATTTCGCTAAAGCAAAGGTATTTACTGCTTCTTTGCATGTGTGTCTTTTCTTTCTTTCTTTCTTTCTTTCTTTCTTTCTTTCAGCTTCTAGATGTTACACCATTTTCTCTATCCGTCACACTCGATGTTACGTCTCGTGCCTTATTAATCTCGTTAATGCGGCGAATAATGATTTCGCAACGTTCTTCTGTGTATAGGAACATTGAGTAAAGGATCGCGCGAATATAGGACTCCGCCAGCGGTAGCCCCACCTCAAGTTCCTAGCCATTACGCGCCCAACTACCCGCTCGGCCATCCCAGGCGTGATCGCCCGGGGTATAGCACACTACCGTTGCATGCTCACAACACGTCCCACGCGAGCCATAATACCAATCATAACGCGCATGCCAATACCATCAATCAGCACACTATGCCGCAAGTGGGAACGGTGCATCCCTTGCAGAGCCATCCGCAAACGCCGCCGCCGGCGCCGCCCAGCGTCACCGCGGGCTACGTGCAGGAGCAGCATAACAGTATGCCACGTAAGTGACAAGTGGCGTAACAAGTATTTTTAACGTAATTGTAGCGCAATTAATATTCATATTCACATTTTAATATTATTTAATAATCTAATTATTTAATCTTAATCTTTAATCGAATTACTTAATGATCAGTACTACGAAATTTTAATATGTCCTTCTCCATCGCAGCTCCACCCTCGCCTTTGGTCGGGCTAGGCGATATGACGGAGTACAGCGGGCATCACACTTTGCCACACAGACTGTCGCATCAGATTAGCCGTGGTAGCGGTGCGAACAGCCCGCCCTTACCACCGCCACCACCACCGGAGCAGGACGAACATCCGCAGTTTGGCCGACCGACTCCGTCTGGCGCTATAATGCCGATCGTGCCGGACGAGGAAGATCTGCCCGGCTGGGTGCCGAAGAATTATATCGAGAAAGGTACGTACAGCCTTAGGAATCTGTCTCTCGTTATACATCCAATGAATAAATTGGCAAACGCGCGTGTTATATTAGTAACACAATAAATGTAATGTTTGTTGAAAATTGCAATTGCAGTGGTGGCTATTTACGATTATTACGCGGACAAGGAGGACGAGCTTAGCTTTCAAGAGAGTTCTGTGATCTACGTGCTCAAGAAAAACGACGACGGATGGTGGGAGGGGGTGATGGACGGTATAACTGGATTATTCCCGGGAAATTACGTCGAACCATGCGTATAACTACATGCAATAATTGGCTATATCAAAAAACTAACGGAAGACTGCAATTTTTAAGCATTTATCGTACGTGTACGTATTATTAATCGTACGTATTTATATTAATCACTATTTCGATTGTAAACCGAAGTTATATTTTCTCTATCTCACTTTTTGTTCGAACAAACGTTCGAATCTATAATTATGAGCGTACAAAAATTGATGCGAGGCTCATAAATCGGAAGACATGATTTTTGTCTTATAGATATTATTTTATAAATTTATTGATTAATATTTAAAAAAAGAAATGAAGAAGTAGGGTAAGGCCGTTCAAGGCCGCCGTAAGTGTCATAATGGTGAATGGGTGGCAGCGTGTAAACGCGTGTTAATCAATAATAGTCTGCAAGGGGTGCAGTGAATGGTGCAGAGAAAAATCGAAATATCATCGACTCCCCTCATTATATCATTGATAGATTTTGTGTTCCCTACAACTTTAGTCTTCGTCCTTGATAGCACGAGATGTCTTGCCGCCGCCTGTAATCGTGCGAAATTCCGAGTGGTAAACAGCCGTTGTCGCGACGTTACGTTACATTGCGTAAGACGAAGATATGTGTACGGTATTTAATTAGCGGGAAGAAAATTTTAGTCGAGCGAGTTCTGAGAATCAAATATTGAAGGAAAAAAAATTAAATTTTTATATTAAATGTAAGAAAATGTATTTTTCTGCATCTTTAGCATTTCCTCGAATAGATGTTGAATTACATAGCAATGGAATGATATATATATTCTATTATCTACGTACCCGTATACGTATATGTACATATTATCTATGTGTGTAAGAATCACATGTTGCAATAGACATCTTTTACCTCTGGATGTGTTTATGTTATTTGCGCGCTTATCGGAAGTGTCACGCGATTGACGGGGAAAAAAGAAATTTCAAACGACGATTGTGCAACATTACAAGGACGCGTAAATAAGTTTACACCATCTCATCTTCTCCGTAAACTTTATTTAACGCGAAATAAAACGAAGACACAGGAAAAATGTGACCTAGCTTTCAATATCCAATAATATCGAAGATCGATTAACGTGACACTTTAATAAGTTCTCTCTTTTTATATATCACAATTACGGATTCTCATGTAGAAACAACTTTTGCGCGCATATTGGTCAATTTGAGATAAATTCTATCGTCCTTTGGGATATTTTTTTCTTTTTTTTTTCTCTCTCTCTCTCTCTTTTTAGGAAAAACATACAAACATGGGTTAGATAGAATTTTAAATAGCTAAGATGAGTCAATCGGCGGGTATCGGTAGAGTAGGGAAATACTCCTGCGCCTTTCTCGCGGCGGAGTATTCTACATTGTAAACGGGATGGATCACCTCTACCTTATTCGCGAGCTTTTTCCCGATGATCGACTTTATTGGTGAATTTTGCGCAATCGATAATCCACTGAGGACGTAACATGTGTGGTATATGTCACGATTTCTGGAAAAAAAAAAAGAAGAGAAGGAAAGAGCTGTCGCAACGCGCTGTATAACGCGGCTAAAAGCTACTACTCGCCAATACTTATATTAGCGGTCACGTCAACACGTGACGTGTGAAGGCAGACGTGATTTTACGTACTTCCCCGGTTTATCCAGAAGACCGCCGTGCGGGTTCTGACAGCAAATTAATATATACTCTTGTAAGGCCTCTTGGTTGAACAGCCAGTGGTCGGAACTGTTGAACGTCTTCCCCTGCGTCGACAGGATAGCGGCGATCAGTGGGAACGTACCGCCTTGCCAGAACGAGTAGCACCCATCCACCAGTTTGTTCGTACGTCCTTGGAAACCGCCCTCCAGACGCATCTGCTTATTTACTATCCACCTCTGCGGGACGAGAGAGAAAGAAAGAGAGAGAGAGAGAGAAAGGTGTGAAGGGTTGAGAAGAAAACGCGGTCGTTTCGCCGCGTCGTGAAACGTAAAAGCCAGGACAAACAGCTTACCAACAACTCCGGCAACTGGCAAAGCTCTGTTTTCCCAAGCATCACGAGCGCCGCTAAAGCGCAGTACGCGTATCCGCCGTGCGCCTCCATCCCCGGACATCCGCCGAAGCCACCCTCCCACGTTTGGCACTTGGCTATCCACTCGGCGGTGCCTCTGAACATATCCGGCGTGTACACGTTCGTCAGCTTGGCGGCGGCCAGGGCGCAATACGCCCCGCGTATGTCCACCTCGCCGTTCTCGTGCATGCAGAACGAGCCGTCCTCCCCGCGTAAGGACGTTAGGAACCGTTTCAAGCTCTTCCTGAAAAATTATCGCAATCTTAAAATTTAAATACGCTATAAAACGTGGGTTTTTTTTTTTAAACGACAGCACTGTTACGAGGAACATTTTTGTCTCGCGTTCATTCCTTACCTATCTATCACATCGTACGCCTCCCGCGTGCCGATGGTGCACAGCGCGTTCACCGCGGCGTACGTGGACGCCAAGTGTGGATGCTGTCCCGGGCCACCGCCGAAACCGCCCGTCGGCGATTGACACTTGGCCAGAAAGCCCGCTATCTTGGAATGCTCCTCGTCCTCCAACCGTTCTCCCAGTATCGCGAGCGAGTGCAATATCCAAAAGCACAGCCATGGTCTGCTGGAGTCCAAGCACTAGTATATCCGTTACAAACGCTCGAATAAGTCCCCCGTTACAAACGAGAATGGTATCTCTCCCTGAATATATTTTTTTTTCCCTCCCTCCTCCTTGGAGCAACATTACGATATGTCGTTTGATATTGAAAGCAGCGACGATACCTCGTAAGTGTCGTTCAAATGGGCGATTGCCCTCTTCAAGAACTGAATGTGTTTCGGCCTGAGCAAAACGGGATCGCCCTCTCTGCACGATCGGTAAAACTTGAGCACGATGTCCTCGACGCGGGCCTGAAAAGATGAATGCGAAGGAAAAGTGAGTTGCACAAATTTTTATTGGCCTTTTTTCTCAGAAACCACGTGGCATGGAGCAGCGGCAATCGAAGATACAAGAATCGAGCTGCCAGGTAATACACGTAAACGTACTAGGGCTGTTACTTTTTGCTCACTTCGAATAATCGAAGCTTCGATGTTAACTTTGACCTTTCAAAGTTTAAGGTGCCTTCGAAGCTTCGAAGTTTAAAATTAACTTCGAAGTTTCAAAGTTTTGAAAAATACATTAAAAATTTGAATTTTCTTAATTGTTTTATTGATCATTATCTTTATTTATTTACACATGTATCCAGTTTAATTATTAATATGTAACATTTTAAATTATAATACTTTCAAATTTTTTAGGAATAATTTTGTATATATATTCTTTTTATATACAATATTTGTGAACTTTCTGATAAATTTATCATTTGCACGAATGTATTTTTCGAAATTTCGAAGGCATCTTAATCTTCGAAGCTTCGAAGTTCGAATGTCGAAGCCTTCGAAGCAAATCACCAGCCCTAAAACGTATGTATTCAGTTTGCTTCATGCGAAGGGTAAACCGCTAATCAAAATTATGTACACCAATACCTAATAATGCTCGAGGTAAGGTAATATCAGTGACTGAATATATATCTATATCTGAATACGTACACAAAATTTATTAATCTCAAATGTTTTTTTTATTATAATACCAAAATTTAATTGTAAAAATATTTAAGGATTACAATTAAATTATAATATTATGAAAAAAAGCATTTAAAATAAAATTTTTGTGCTTGTTTTGTTACTTGTTCAGCTATATAGATACATGTTCAGTCACTGGTACGTTTAATGCCCAATTTTTACGACCGACCGTAATGCCCCGCACGATAACATCGTGAGAGCGCTTATTATCTAGCGTATTTAATATTCACACTCTGTTACGTGTTGTAAATATGTTTTAATATAAAACACAATTGTCAATTGTTTAAAAATAAAACGTAATAGTGCTCAAGAAATGCCCAGTAACGTCTATAGCAATGCCTCGAATCTGTACCCGGCAATCTGCCCTCAGCGAGGGGTAAACCGCTGAGGGCATTGCGGTGTACAAATTCCTTAGAACATGTAATATATGTTCTAAGACAAATTCGGGGCATTGCTGTAGGCATAACTGGGCATTTCTTGAGCATTACTGAGCACTGTTACGTTTTATTTTCAAACAATTGACAATCGTTTTATGTCGAACATATTTACAACACTTAATAAAGTGTGAATATTAAATAAATTAACGCTGAACAATAAGATCGCGCTCTCACGATGTTATCCGTGGGGCATTACGATCGGTCAAAAATTGGGCATTACCTCGGGCATTACGTAACTAGGCATTGGTCTACAGTCATGGACACATCGGTTGCGACACTTTCTTCTTTATAGATTTCAAAACGCACTAATATTTTGCAAATTTGCGGACCACGATTGGTGTTATACTGTCTCTAGACTAAAGATAGTACATCGTGGTTCGCATTTGCAAAATATTAGTTAGCCATAAAGTATATATTATGTATATTAAATATATATTAGAAACCTATAAAGAAAAAGTGTCGCAATCGACGTGCCCACGACTGTACATAATTTTGGTTAGCGGTTTACCCTCGCCTCAGCAGTTGACCACCCCTCAGTTTCACGGTTGAAATTCCCACGAAGACCTTCCACCCACCTGCTCATTTGTCGTCGCGGTTTTACGCCCGCTCTCATCCTGCCGTTGCTTCAATATTTCCTCATAGCTCCTCCGTCCTGTCTGCACCCCCGACTCCAGGTCCGACATGATCTGTTAAATAAATCACGCGTCAATGGCGATGATTCATGGTCTGTCAGTACGAGTAGTCCAACCCGCGCAAATCAAGCAGCTCGATGGTCCAGGTGTGCGGTTTATTTTATCGTAAGTTTATCACAAGATATCCAAATAATGTTTCTATCAATGTAGATTAACTTTAATCACGGTCTTATTTACTTTTTATCTCGTTCTATCTAATTCTTAAAAGTAGAAAAAGATACAAAGTAAGTTAAACCTGGATTAAAGTTAATCTACCTTGGTAGAAATAGACATGAGAGACACATGTCCATTTCCACCAATGTAGATTAACTTCAATCTCGATTTTATTCACTGTTTATCTTTCAATAATTCTTAAAACTATAGAAAAAGATACGAAGCAAGTTAAACCTGAATTAAAGTTAATCCACATTGGTAGAAACGGACAACACCGAGACTCTTCAGAGGTTAAGAGACCCTCTCTCTCTCTCTCCCTCTCTTCCTCCCCGCCGCGCTCGCTGCAACTATCCAGCTTATAGAAACTCTTATTGCCGTACATTTTTCTGCGTATGGCGTGTCGTACTCACATCTTAATTTTACGTATATCGGGTGTTGCTGTATGTACAATGTTAACCGATCTCACGGTTGCACTCATAACCTAACATATTTATTTTGTTGACGCGACGGCACCGTAAAATGTGGGACACCTGTGCCGTGTGCGCGGAGAGCCGACCGCTCTCTCCGCGCCCCGCAAGTTAGTTCGCGATACGCCGCTCTTCTCGAGGTGCGATTCTCTAATCTACCGACAGCGCGTGCTGTATGCAGAAAATCGTGCGTCTAATTATTTCTGTAATGCCTGCGAAGCGGCGTATTGCCTCTCCCTCCGCTGAGGAGCATTTAAATAAGGATGCCGAAATAAATTAGATATACGATCAATTTATTTCCATACGAAAAAGGAGACAAGATATATATGATTCCAATAAAATGTAAACATTCGACATTCGCGAAATTCAGAAGTCGCGTTGCAAGACGCAATTTCGAAATGCCTGGGGGTTATTTTTTTTTTTTTAACCATGAGAATCTCCAAGAATTAATCTCTCGGCGTTCCTCCGTCATTTCCTGCCTCACAATGCCGCCCATTTATTTCGTCATTGCAGTCTTTGCACGACGCGCATTCTATATTAGGTATTCTCTCTCTATATATATATATATGTATATATACATACATATATGCGCGACTCGTCTCGTCATTTTTGCGGATCGACGGAGACCTGCATTGGAGACGAATATATCCACGATTCAAATTCGGGGCCTGGAAGGCGGAAATTGCCACTCGTCTTCCGCTCCGCGCGATTCTCGGCGATGAATAATGCGATAAAAATCGAGAAAAGAAGAAAAAAGAAAGGAACGTCGCGCGAAAACGGCCCTTCCCCCTCCCCGGCTCCCCGGTTAAGTAAATAGACTTGACGAGGGTATGAATCATCATTCAGCGGGCAAAATGCGCACGCATTTCGTGTTTTCTACGCGTTAACGTTAACGGGACGGTAAGTACATACTCCCACGCGAATGTCAAGGTCCCGCGGCGGGCGGGGCGGCGGGGGGTACGTTAGCTGTTTTTTTCCTTCCTCTCACGCGCGTCCCGCGGGCTCTTCGCGCGCCGCGCGTGTTGCGCAACGCGAGATTGTAGTTTGTACGTCGTCGTCGTCGTCGTCTCGCCACTCTCGCCAGTCGTCGTCGTCGTCGCGCGTCCCGTTAAGCGTCGTCGCGCGCGCGCGCGCACGCGGACGGACGGACAACGGTGAGTTTTTCCTATAAATAGCGGTGTCACACGCACAGTTTCGCCGTGGCGGTGCGCGGGAGGCCGTCGGAGTTCCCACGATCAGCGTCGATGGTCACGATATAGGTAGGATATACCTGGGTGCCTCGTCGCGTTTCCTTCCTCCGCGGAGCGTCGGGCGTCCTCCCGTCGGTCGGTCGCGCGAGGCAACCGAGTGACCCGCCGAGCGCGGTCTCGAGGATGATCGCGACGACGTGATTCTCGTGGCCCCCCCCGACGACGACGACGACGACGGTCGTCGCGTGCCCGGCGCGGTGTCCTCGACGGGTGGGGGAGGAGGGGAGGGGAGGGGGTGCGCGCGGCGTGGAGAGGCTAGAAATAGGGGATCCAGCCGGAAAGGACCGCGGTCGTGTCCTTCGGGGAGGGGTGCTATTTTTAGACGTTGGCGTGCATAGGTTCGGGCGTATGTTCTCCCCCGACGGCCCTCCCGCGACTCGCCCAAAAGCGAGCGATAACCTTTGATCGCTGCCGTATACGCTGATCTCCGTACGTCTCCGCCGGGCGAAGCCCTAGCTGCCGCGGTCGCCTAGTCCTTGGCGAGAGGCATCAGATTTGCGATCTCCTGTCGATTCATCCTCTGTGTGTGTGTTTGCGTGTGTTCAGCAGAAGAGAGGATGGAGAGCGAGCAGCATCACTATGAGCTTCGCAGCAGGAGCAGATCCCGCTCCCACACGCCTATGATCCCGACGAGCCGTCCCCTGCCGGAGCCGGAGCTGACGGAGCGTCATTACGATCTCAGAAGCTGGAGCCGGGAGAGATCTCGCACGCCCGGGGAGGTGACCAGCAGCAGAAGGTCCGGCTCCAGATCGTTGTGAGTTGCAATCGACCCTGGCGGAGCGAGTAAAAGCGATTTTACGATTAGCGTCTCCGTCAACGATTAGCGTATACAGACAAGTTTCGTCATTTATCGCTCGTTTTTTTTTTTCTTTCCACGAACCGTAGAACCGGCAGCATGAAGACGCATGAGAAGAGCATGGAGACCATAGAGGAGAGCAAGGAGGGATCCGTCACGGAAAGTCTGACGGATAATCAGAGCACAAAGTCCGACGGTTCGGTCGTCGTTGCGAGAAAGGCGGAACGTCGGTCGGAACGCCAGCGGGCCAAGAGGCAAATATTTGCCAACGGCCAGAGCGAAAGTAAGGAGGGAACGTCCGACCAGAGGGCCGAACGAAGGCGCAGGAGTGTTACGCCACGCAGAGTACTTACCAGCGACTATTCGTCCGAGGAGGGGGAGAGGGAAGATCCTCCGAGTAGACCCGGATCGGCCTATGCGATTTACAAGCGGGCTGGCGAATGGTGGAAGTACGCATATCCTTGAGTTTTATTCCACGCGCCGTGTGTGTGTGTGTATTGTTATTTTTAACGGGAACTTTCTTTTTTTTTTTTCTAACCGAGATGTTAAACGATTGTGCCAATAATGAGTTCCTCTTCCCGCGACCTGCATTTGTCTCTAGCGCAAGGTGCTGTTTACCTTTGAAGCTATATGACCTTTCCGTTGAAGAAGCAAACATTTATAAACAAAAGAGCCTGCCAAATTGTTAGTCCACGGTTGATTATTTGCTCGTGCTGACAACATCGGTTAAATTAGAAAGTAACGAACGATTTTGCATTTTTTTGCGCGAGGATTGTCATAGATTGTCCGTGGATGTTTCAGCGTTTTCCCAAAGACAGACTACACGTACTCGCCGACGTCGCAGTGCCGTTACGAGATCGCCCCGGGTGTACTGGCTATGCCCAACATGTCGAGGCGGTCTATACACGCGAGCGACAACGGAAGTGCCGTGCCGCAGGTCAGCCGTCGGAATCTGAGCCAGGCCTCGCGGGGAACGACGGAGAGCGGAATCGGCGACGTGGACACGGTCGATTTGAAGGAGACCGCCGCCTCTCTTATTCATCCGGTAAGCACCTCGCCAGATCTCGGGAGGAGGCTTGTTGTTCTCCCCATTTTTCCCGTTTTATCGCGTGACTCTGCGTTCTAAAAACTATACCGTGGATTTTGGCAGTCCGAGGTGGACAGTTATGGCATGTCACGCGCGTGCATGCCGAATTCTGCGGGACGAGCGACTCTGTACAAGAGGACACATTTAAAACAGTACACAAGTCACAAAGAAGTGGTTTACTCGAAACCTGGATACTCTTCGGGCTTTCGGTCAAGGTACTGTCTTTTGTTTTTTTTCTTTTCACTTATTAGAAACGATATTTTTTTGCGAAATAAAGTTCAAGATAATGGGCTGAAATCTCATTTCAGCGGGAGCTTGTGGAACATTTCTCCAATCGAGACCTACGATTCCGACCTCGAGTTGGACGAGACTTTTGCAAAATCATCAAAAATGGTCAAAACTACTAATCAGAGTTGGAGGATCGTGCGGTGGTTCGCATATTTTACAACCTTCATTGTCGCCTGCTTCAGGAAAACTGTCGAATTCTTCGAGTTCAGAACGGATAAGAAGAGGCAGCATTACGTTTCGCAAGCTTATCGATCATCCAATGGTATTATCGGCATTCCAGAGAAAATAAAACTTACAATTTTATTAATAACAGAAATATATTCGTAATCGAGCGTGATGTAATATAATCTATCCTTCGTGCGATTTTAGAACATGTACTACTGAAAGGAGAATTGTCTATACCGTCCGTGCATCGAGCTGAAGCTAACATCTGTGCGAGAGAGAAAGGTACAGGTTCCCATTTAACTGTAATATGCATGTGTCATTCAGCCCCCATTTAGCCCCGTTTTGCCTAATTTCTTATCTTTCGAAAATAAAATCTTAAAAAAAAAACAAATGAAAACGGGGCTAAGTGGGGGCTGAATGACACATGCGTATTACAGTTAAATGGGAACTTAAACCTTTCTCTCTCGCACAGATGTTGGCTTCACGTTCAGCACTCAATTCTCCTTCCAGTAATATATGTTCTAAGCGTGCGATGTAACGTGTTGGTGCTAAAGAAACGCTTATTAACCGATCGTTTTCTTATTGTTCGCTGTCCTCTAGTGTCCAAATGGAGCGCATTGTGGCAAACTTTGGACCGTTATACGCACAATATGTACTTCTTCTTCGTCAGAATCCTCGTGTTTGACGCTTGGCTGTTGAGCCGATTCACTGGCGTTAGGAAATGGCTGCGAGAGAGAGGCCCGAAGGTTCTTTGGCTCGCGCTTCTACCGTTACTTCTTCTACTTGGTAAGTTCCTCCATCTCGTTCGCAAGAAATACGAAAGAGAGATCAGAGACATTACTACATCCCATTCTTTCATATGATCCACATGATATCCGATCCAAGCACAAGATCAGACCAATGTCTTTCTGTGGGAACCTGAAAGACGCATAAACCTATCCTGGCCTTCGTCTTCTTTTTGTTTCAGGGGCTTACATCGCGCAGAGGCATTATTACACTCTCGCGGAATCTCTGCGGGATGTCCAATATGGTGTCACTGAGACGACTTATCACGCCTTTAATAATATAAGCGACTTAATGGGTCTTGCCCGTGAATCGTTTGCAAATTATCTTGCAGCTCTTAAAAATTACCTCGTGCACCTCTTACCGAGTGTGAACGTGTCTTTGCCTGAAATGCCTCCCATTGGGTGGAATATAAAGTGGTGATTAATTGAAAAGATTTAGGATTAATGATCCTAAATACAATAATTTAGTTTAAAATGGATGGAAGTGGTGTTAAGTATTTATAATTTTTTTACAGAATTATGACGAGAGTGGATTTCTATTATACTGCAAATTTTTTAATTAATTGATTGTAACATGATTGATATAACATAATTTTCATAATTAATGAAATAAGAATATGAAAAATACCTCTTTCATCCATTTGTTCTTTGAATCAGTAATTGTGTGTGATTTATCCATTGTTTTTGTTTCTCTTTTGTTCTAAGAGTCAGTATACACTACCCAGCATAATTTTTATTACCTTCATACAAAATGATTATAAATGTTCACTAAATTTTTATGTTTACTATCTTGACATTTTTAGTATATTTGCATACATTTGTCATATAATATTGTTTTCAATGATCTGTTTTATTAAATCAGAATAATGAAATGTATGATTTATACAGGATGTTTCTCGCGTATCGGTCGCCACGATTTTTTTTACATGTAATGGATTGTCGGCAAAATGTTTCGAATGAGTTTTGTGGGTTTCTCACGAAGACTTAATTGCACAAAAAAGGCCAACAAACTTTTGTTTGAAACATTTTTTCGTTAGTTCATCTGAAGTATCTCAAAAATTGTGGCGGCCGATACAATTTATATACTGACTATCTGTTACCGCTTTGCGTATATTTTGTTTTTACTAATAGACTAATGTTTCTTTATTGTGTGAAGATATATTTGTCGATATTTTATATATTTTAAACATAATTATGCCTGTGCTGTATTTTAAGAACTAACTGGTCATATCACTTAGTCATTTTTCTGTTATACATTTATATATATATTCTATATATATATTTTTTGTGTTTTCTCTTATAATACTTTAATCCCATATAGATATTATGAAGCGCATAATATATAATATTTAATCGAATGGAAACTTAATATTTTTTTTCAGTTAACCACCACATTGTTTACATCTTTCAAAGATATAACAATATTTTAATGTTATAATTACTGTTGTTAGATAATATATCTATATTGTAAAAACACGTTCATACTTAATAAAATATTTTTGTGTGTACGTATTTTGGTAGTCTTTTAAACACAGTCCGTTAGAGTGATATAGCGTCGTAGTGTCACGATTGAGCATTTTTACGAATCAAATCTAAAAAGCGAAAAATATATATCTTTATGGTGGGAGAAGGATAGGGGGAGGATTACTCTCTGCTGGGTGTTAAAAAGGTCGCAGTGTATCATGCTTGAGATACTTGGAATCGCGATCGGTATCATCGGAACGGTGAGTCCCTTCGCCTGTCCTTCTCTCAGTTACCATATTGTATAATAGTTCCACTTTGAACAATTACGTCATTGTAATCGTTTTGTGCCAACGAAATTTAAGAGATGTCCCTGAGATACATAAGATCCCTGTGATTTTGTAAATTCGTTAATTGGACGGCCACGTGTGGCCTACTTAACTTTGTGTTGGAACGTTGTAACAAGTTCAATACAGTAACAGGAGAAGAGGGATGGCATAAATCAATTTAGAACTGTCAAATATTTATGGATATGAAATTTGTTTCAGGTGGTTGGTGCGTAGCACAATGTCTGCTGCCTCTTTCCGATGTTGGAACCGTATCCGAGACAGCGACAGAAAGATTATTACCTGACGTACAACGGGAAGAGCATAATAGTAAAATTATTAAAGAAATATTGACTAACAACGAAATAATCAAAGAAGACTTGGCTAGCAAAGCTGATTTGATCAACAGGATAAAAACGCTCGAGAATAGACAAACGCATCAAATGGTATTAAATATAAATTTTCTCGTGTGATTATTGTATTTTACGATTTACTTATATACGTATCATTTTGTTTGTAGGAACATCTTATAAATATTACTCGGACTCTAGAGGATCGTAAGCAAATTGATGCCGATTTTCGGAAGGAATATGACGTAAGTCTATAAATTCATACCATTATTTAAAAATTAAAACAATAATTATGAAGATCTCGAGTTCTGCACGGCAATGTTTCCAGGACAAAATTACTAATGTGGAAAATAAGCTGGACGTCAGCGAGCTGAAAAATATGGCGTACAGCGAGCTTCAAGTTATCAAACACGAATTTGAAGAACTACGCAAACTGTACGCGGAATTGAAATCCTGTTGCGATGTCAATGCAGAATTCATCGCGAATCAAAATGTAGAGAAGCATGTGGAAAGAATTTTACTTAGCTACTTTCCTTCCGAAATTTCGAAAGAGGATCTCGTGACAAAAATACGGAGCTTACTTGCGTCCCACGGCAGTGAAGGTTATATCGAGGATATATTTATAAAAGCCTTGGACTTTCAAACGTGTTTGGATGTTTACGCTATACATATTAATTAATGTCGAGAATACATTACGGCATACATTTTTACAGGTCAAAAAATCGTGAATGACGATCCCGACAATGCGAACGTTCATATCTCGGACGAGCACATACGCAAGATAGTGAGGGATGTTCTGCGAATTTATGACGCGGATAAAACGGGCCAAGTGGACTACGCTTTGGAAACGGCAGGTATTGTATCGCGCCGATTTGAAATCGACGCGACAATTGATGAATATTATAACACAAATAGCTTCGTTTTGCGCGCACAGGCGGTCAGATTCTCGGCACGCGATGCACTCAGCAATACGACGTAAAGTCGAGAGCCTTAAGTTTATTCGGTTTTTTCCTGTATTCTGAGAGCGGCAATCCGCGGACAGTGATACAGGGAAATCCGTTACAACCTGGCGTTTGCTGGGCCTTCCAAGATTTTCCCGGGCAACTTATAATACAATTGCGAAGCTTCATTTACGTAACCGGCTTCACTCTGGAGCACGTCTCCAGATTGATTGTACCCGATGAAAACATGTCGAGCGCGCCCAAAAAGTTCAACGTTTGGGTATGTCAAATTAATCTCTTTCGTGTCATCGAGTATTGTAATATTTTTTAAATTGCTCTCTCTTGCTGCCGCAGGGATTGTTGTATGAAAGAGACCCGGAGCCAGTGATGTTCGGGGAGTATGAATTCACGTATCCCGATGAAAGTTTGCAATATTTTCCAGTCCAGGTAAATTTCTTTTCAAAATTCTTCAATCAACTTGTATTTATATCTATAAATGAAATAGCGACGCAATACATGTAGATACGAATAAAAATATTAAAACGGGAAAATGGGAGAACGTAATATTATTAAAGGAAATACTTTCATTAAATGTGAAAACGTAATAAATGGGAAAATGGGAAAACGTGATATATTAAAAGTATTTCCTTTAATATATTACGTTTAAATGTGAAAACGTAATAAATGTGAAAATCGAAAAACGTAATATATTAAGAGTATTTCTTTTAATATATTACGTTTTCCCATTTTCCCGTATCACTATTTTTATTTGTATCCACGTGCATTGCGTTGCTGTCATTTCATTTATAGATTTTAGATTCGTTGAAACTACAGTAATCGTTGATTTATTAATTTTTCTACGCAGAACACAGAGATCGATAGACCATACGAATACATAGAGTTGAGGATACACAGCAATCACGGGCAGCTAGAATACACGTGTCTATACAGATTCCGCGTTCACGGAAGACCAGCTTAGGAATTGATCGCGCCATAGTTCCTCTTCACAAGACATTCGACAGGATCGTTCGAGCCGAGCAGCAAGAACGGAGCCACAGCTCTTCTCCAATACGTGCCTTCGACTTTACCGTTAAAAACGATAAACGTAACAATCGCGCGATTTTTGTGCCGCAGCACTTTGTAACTGTACAGTTGTGAATAGCTCGATTATTTAACGCTTTTGTAATAGATTTTCAACGAAACGATCAAAAACACTTATCATGCACGCGTCGATATTTAATACACACACGTAGGCGGAAGCCGTTTTTCCGTCGCCATTCAAACGCGTTGAACGCTGTACATATACATTCAATAACGTCAATAATTTATATCGATCAGGAAGATTGCACGATTGATCGGGGGGGTCAAGGTGGGAAAAAAACCATTACGCACGCGTGTCGGCCCGATGGTGTTCCACAATTTATTGCCTATATATATATATATATAAATGTCTTCACTACATGGCCTTGCTAATAGCAGTTACCCGAGTAAAACGCATCATGAAGAAAAAAAAAAGAAAATATTTCGTACATATCTCTTTTGACAACGCGAGCCGATCGATCGGGAAAATCAGATGGCTAAAAAGAATTGGCAGGGATGATAAGCACATAACTTCGTAGGAAATCTCGAAGGACGAAAGAGAGAGAGAGAGAAAGTTTGCCTGTGTTATGCGTCATGCAAATAACCGATTTGGCAGCATCACGTGCAAGACTGACACTTGAAAAGTTACCCCAAAGCTGAGTGTGAGTCATAATATTTTCGCAATAACGCGACAGTACAAATTGTAAGGGATCGTTAACGATCGCAATTAATTCTAGCCTAAGTATCGTTAGTTGCTTAATTTTTAAGTGTGCAACACCGCGCGAGTTGGTCCTCGCCGTCTTTGTATAAGGATCTGACGACTAAGGACGCGGTAGTTGAACGCAACACCTCGATTGTATACATATATATTTATAAGATATTTAAGTAAGTTTCTCATTTCTTTATTGTCTTTTTTTTTTTAACTCTAAGATCGCGATGCGCATCGTTTTCGCTTCGTAATTAATTATTTAGCGTCGTCGGCGACGACAGGTCGACCCTCGCCGACGTCGAAAACGCGATTACCACCGCGTTTTTTTTCCCCCTTTTTTATTACCATTTTTCCGTACGCGCTAGCCGCATATTTAAATAAAATTTGCAAATAAAAATTGCGTTTCATTCGACACGATTCAAGTTTATTCCGCCCGATTGTACCGAACGCCGGGTAATCCAATTGGCGATCGTACCTTAGCGATTATTTTTGTTAATCGTGAAAATAGAGTAACTTTCGCAGTTCAAATACACGTGGCAACGAAGATTTTAGATTAGAGACAACGAATTTACACATGATTGAACATTTTGCAATAAGCAATTTGCTGAGCTAATTAATTATATTAATTTTGACGCTTGACTCACATCAAAGATCTATAATATTATTTCATTGGTATAAATAAACTTTACTTGATGCATGGAAAAAAAAAAGATTGAGAACATCACGGTTGGAAATTTCGCGGCAATTCTGTCGATGTTAATTGCTGATCTCAATTGGAAATTCGATCGAGGCTATATAAATTTATTCGATCGCGTTATTTCCGATCGTGTCTGTTGTCAATTTCGTAGATGCGCTTCCGCGCGAACGCGCAAGGACTCCCCGAGGCACATCCTTGCCCACATCGATCGCGAAACTTCCATTGTCGCGCAAAGGCGCGTTTTCCCGCGCCGATCCGCGCGACACCGGAAACCGGCTGGGAGTTCCAGTTTCAAAATCCCTCTCGCCTCGCGCTCGGCGCCGCTCTCTCGCGCGATCGACGTTCCCACGCGCGCGAGGTGCCCCCGTGTGTGAGAACGAACTCACCCGCGGACGCTCTTCAGGGTGTACGATAGGCCCGCAGGAGGGATTCTTTAATTTCGCGAACCGGATCTCGCGCGCGTGTGGGATCCGGTTTCATCGAGTTTTCCCGAAACGAGCCGCCACGAAGAGAGAGAATCAGAGAGAAAACGGCCGGGCGGAAACGCACGATCGGAGTCTTTCCCAATTCCCGCCACGGAACGGAACGGACAGGCGCGGAGGAAGGGCGTGGCGCCCCCTCGCGCAACCACGGTCCTGGCTCTCCGCGCGCTCGCGGCAGCAGAGGGGGTTGGCTGGCTGACCGGCGGCGAAGGGGGTGGAGGGGAGGCGAGGCGAAAGAGAGAGAGAGCGCTGTAGGAAGCTTCCGTTTATCTGCGAGGTCAGAGAAGGCAGGCTGCGCGTTACAGTGGTGCTGTTGAAAAACACACGATGAAAATGGCGTGGACACCACAGGAGGAAGGACTCAGGCAAATCCTGACGCTGCTCAAGGAGTCGCAGAGCCCGGACACGGCGACCCAGCGGGCCGTACAACAAGTATCCTTTCGGACCTGATCGTTGATCGAGAATCCGTCGCGACGGGGTGATCCTCGTGACCGTCGTCGCCCCCCGTCGTTGTGTGTGGTGTGGTGCTGCGCCCGCCGCTCGCCCATACGTGGCCCCCGCGGAGTGAAGCGCGAGTGTGTAGAGAAAAAGGGACGCGGCGCGCGCGCGCGATCACGCCGCGAGCGAGGCCCGTCCGCACCGTCGTGCGTTCGCTTTTCCCCGGTCTGGCGTTCCGGACGAGATGCCGTCCGCGAGCGATTCGAGGAAATTAATTACGCGCGAACGCGATCTCCATGTCGGGAGAGAGAGAGAGAAAGACAGCGCGCGCGCGCGCGCGCGCTCTCTCTCGCTCCGCTCGCTCTCGATAGCGTCGCGCAAACGATCGTTCGCTCGCTTCTCCAGGGCGTCCGACGCCCCGATCGCCGTCCAGGACTCGCCGCGCCGCCCGGGCTTGAGCGTGCCCGACGCACCGCGGGCGCGGAGCTGGAAATATGCTAACGAAATATGCACGCCCCGCCGCCGAGCGGAGCGGGGTCGCGCGGGGATTCCGGCTCGTTCGCACGCTCGCTCGCTCGCGCGCGCGGGGGGACGGTTGTTTTCCCCAGCGCGTGGCTGCTTCCTCTCTGATCGATAGTTTTCGCGCCGAGTCCTCGCCGGGTGCCCCCTCGCCTCGGAGGGGGGCCGGTGGCTGCCCTGCTACGCGAACGCGAAACCGCCCGCGCCTATTGAAAATTACACCCGTGCCGAATGCACGACAACGCGGATCGCGCGCTTTGTCGATCGACGGTTTATCGACGACCGTGTTATCTCCTCGGGGAAACGCGAATCCGATCTCTCTCCCCGTAAAATATAAATATAAATTCTCCTCCCCGCCCCCCCGCCCCTGTTCATTTATATACCATGCCTCTTGTCGTTGCTTCCACAACTGACAAGTGTATAGCTACTCTCACGTTATATTTTTTTCCTTAACTGGAATTCTCTCGTTAGAAATTGGAAGAGTTGAACAAATTCCCGGATTTTAATAACTACTTGATTTTTGTTCTGACGAAATTGACATCGGAAGGTACGTTGGAATTGAATAATGCGACTCTCTCTCCGAATTGGGAGTTTTGGAAGTTTATTTTTCCACTCGGCGACAATTTGTACACATGAAACTAATGATCCACTTTCTGTTAAGACGAACCTACCAGGTCTCTGAGCGGACTGATACTGAAGAACAACGTTAAGACGTACTTCCATAAATTTGTACCGGAAGTCATAAATTTCGTGAAGCAAGAATGTCTGTCAGCTGTCGGAGACCCATCGCCGCTGATTCGCGCGACCGTTGGTATTTTGATCACCACCGTCGCGTCAAGAGGTACGTCATACCGCATTTTCACACAAAAAAATGTGACGACGGAGTGTGTATTTAAATTCTTTTGACGATTGAAATGTACTTTCCGCGAGCAGGTGAATTAACAACTTGGCCGGAATTGTTGCCGGCGCTGTGCCAGATGTTGGACTCGCAGGATTACAACGTTTGCGAGGGCGCGTTCGGCGCCCTCCAGAAGATTTGCGAGGACTCGGCGGAGATATTGGACTCGGACGCTCTGAATCGCCCGTTGAACGTTCTGATTCCAAAGTTCCTCCAATTCTTTAGACATTCGAGCCCCAAGATCAGATCCCACGCGATAGCGTGCGTCAATCAGTTCATCATTCAACGCACGCAGGCGCTTATGATACATATAGACAGCTTTTTGGAGAATCTCTTCCACTTAGCTTCAGATGATGATTCCGACGTCCGAAAGAACGTGTGCAGGTAATTTGTGGCGGAGAAAACACACACACACACACACACACACACACTCTCTCTCTCTCTCTCTCTCTCTCTCTCTCTCTTAAATATTATATCATTAACAGGAAGATGGATATATATTTTCATTCTTTTGTGTTCTTGCACAGGGCACTGGTGATGCTGCTCGAGGTACGAATGGATAGACTAATACCACATATGCACAATATAATAGAGTACATGCTAATGAGAACTCAGGACGTTGACGAAGGAGTGGCATTGGAGGCGTGCGAATTTTGGTTGTCACTAGCGGAGCAACCAATTTGCAAGGAGGCACTTGCGCCACATCTGCCGCGATTAGTACCCATCTTAGTAAGTTCTCTCGTTCTAAGTCTACAACTTAGTACACAAGAGTTGTCGCTTTTCCATTTTAATTCTCGACGTTCTTTTTCTTTTTTTTTTTTTTCAACAGGTGAAAGGTATGAAATATTCGGAAATTGACATAATCCTCTTGAAAGGAGACGTGGAGGAGGACGAAATGATTCCGGACAGAGAAGAGGACATCCGGCCACGTTTTCACAAATCCAAGACGCATCACTCGCATCACGCCAACGGTATGAATAAGCACACCGACGAGAACGGCGGTGTGAACGGCGGTTGCGACGACGAGGACATAGACGTCGAGGATGGATGCGACGACGACTCGACTCTGAGTGATTGGAACTTGAGGAAATGCTCCGCCGCTGCGCTAGACATGCTGGCTAACGTCTTCAGGGAAGAGCTCCTGCCGGTTTTGGTACCGATCCTGAAGGAGACCCTTTTCCATCAGTCCTGGGAGATCAAGGAATCCGGTATTCTGGCGCTGGGAGCTATCGCTGAAGGTGCGCGTATTTTCCTCTTTCCCTAAAGTATCTTTATAAATTAAAAAGACCTCTTTGATAATCAAAGTACGATCGAGTGAGATTTGATTCGTGTTTGCAGGATGTATGAGTGGCATGATTCCACATTTGTCGGAGCTTATTCCCTATCTGATCAGTTGTCTGAGCGACAAGAAGGCCCTTGTGCGTGCCATAACTTGTTGGACGCTGAGCCGTTACGCGCATTGGGTTTGTGCGCAGCCTCACGAGACGCATTTGAAACCTCTAATGACGGAACTGCTCAAGAGAGTGCTCGACAGTAACAAACGTGTTCAAGAGGCCGCTTGCTCCGCTTTCGCAACTTTGGAGGAAGAGGCGTGCACCGAACTGGTCCCTTACCTCGGATTCATTCTCGAAACGCTCGTCTTCGCGTTCAGTGAGTACATACACACGATTGATTCTCGTCTCGTTCTGGAAGACGCATCTTTCTAATCAATGTGCGATTGGCCTACCACGCAGGTAAATATCAGCATAAGAACCTTTTAATTCTGTACGACGCGATCGGCACTCTCGCCGATTCTGTGGGTCATCACCTGAACAGGCCAGACTACATCAATCTACTGATGCCGCCTCTCATCAATAAGTGGAACGTGCTGAAGGACGAGGATAAAGATCTGTTCCCGTTGCTGGAATGCCTCTCTTCGGTAGCAACCGCGTTGCGTTCGGGTTTCTTACCATATTGCGAACCCGTCTACAGGTACGACAATCCTTTAATCGGCCTTAAATCCGTTTCATGTACTGTCGGTTCTAACGATCTGTTATAAATTATTTTTGTAATAAATAAATAAAAAAATGCTGTTTCACTTTGCAGGCGGTGCGTGTCACTTGTGGAGCAAACGCTCAATCAGCATATAGCAAGTACGCAAAGTCCAGAGCAGTTTGAGGCACCCGATAAGGACTTCATGATCGTCGCATTGGACCTGCTTAGCGGATTAGCGGAAGGGCTGGACGGTCACATGGAACGTCTAGTGATGAACAGCAACGTTATGCAGCTGTTGTACCAATGTATGCAGGATACCATGCCCGAGGTTAGACAGAGTAGTTTCGCTCTATTAGGAGATCTTACGAAAGCTTGCTTCCAACACGTGCTCCCCTGCATACGTAAGTGTACACAAGATACTGGATACTAAAGTCATTTATAAATTTGGGCTGTTACTTTTTACCTACATCGAATATTCGAAGCCTCAAAGTTTTGAAAAGTACATTAAAATTTTGAATTTGGTCATTTGGATTGTTTTATTGATCATTATCTTATTTATACATGTAGCAAGTTTAATTATTGATTTGTAATATTTTAGATTGTAATACTTTCAAATTTTTTAGGAATAATTTTGTATATTTAGAGTAAATGACATTGTAAATGTATTTTTCGAAACTTCGAAGCTTCGAAAGAATTTGAAGATTTAATGCTGAAGCTTCGAAGTTCGAATGTCGAAGCCTTCGAAGCAAATCACCAGCCCAATTATAAATTCATTATAAATTTTCTGAATAAATTTGTCATTTGCACGAATGTATTTTTCGAAACTTCGAAGCTTCGAAAGAATTCGAAGATTTAATGGCTGAAGCTTCGAAGTTCGAATGTCGAAGCCTTCGAAGCAAATCACCAGCCCAATTATAAATTCATTATAAATGTATATATTAATATGAATTTTGTCTTGACACCCGCAGCGGAGTTTATGCCAATACTTGGACAAAACTTGCATCCGCAGTTCATATCAGTATGTAACAACGCGACATGGGCGATCGGCGAAATTTCGATAAAACTCGGTAAATAAAATCGAAAGCGACATTTTTCTGGGGGGGGAGGGGAAGGGGAGGAGGGGGACAAATGAGGTTTATCGCTTATCTCATTTGCTCTTTACAGGTCCCGACACGAGCGCGTATATCCCGTTAATTTTGACACAGCTCATCGAAATCATCAACCGACCGGACACGCCGAAAACGCTGTTAGAAAATACGGGTGAGTCAGTCAGTTCGACCTTTACGGATATCTTAGTTCTTTCCTTAGAACGATACCGTATATGATATATACCGAGCATATACTTTGAAACGAATAGAAAGCAATGTGTAGTGTGAGACTCGAGCCGACAACAGAATCTGTCGATTCCCATTTACATATTATACATCGCTATCTTTCCCCGTGCCGACTTTAAGAAATTACACTCCGTCACGACTGTGTGCTGCTCTTTGTGCACATTGGGAAACTTCTCATTCGCAGAGATCAGCCTTTACGACGTAATTATTATTATTATTATTGCACAATCATGGACCGAGAGTTACATCCGATCGTTGTTTAATGAAAGGTCTCCCAGTAATTTTTAGAGTATTGTTCACGCTAGATCGAATTATTTGGTGGCATCCCAGCTCTCTAGGTGCATAAGTACACATATATTTATTTTCTCTCTCTTTTTTTTTTTTTTAGTAATTTTTTGAGCAACGATTTTTTGAACTACACAGTTCAGTGACTTGGCGTGTTACATATACATGAATCGCGACTGCACGTTTTATCGACAGGTTTAAGCAACTAGTACTTGTATATTGAACCTTGATTTAGTGGTGTGCGATTGCCTGTAGGCTTGAACGTATATACATATACGGCTGTATTGCCATAAAAAGACATGTTGCAATTCAGTATATATATATAAAAACTACCGCGTATGTGTGTGTATGTATATATATATATACTTTATGCTTGCATATTTCTAATGCCCCAGATTATATTGTTTCGATTGAATTGTTTGAATTGGCCTTTAAAGATCATAACGCAAATTTGGTTACTCCTTTTTATTGTCCTCTTATTTGTATACTGACATACATATATATATATATTTCTTATATACAGTAGAAAGAGAGAATGAGGGGGAGAGAAAGAGAGAGAGATCATTTTTGGTATACCGATCCGTATTTATACAAAATCACACGGGCTCGCACGCTGCTATCTAATTTTGATTATTGTTTCAGCAGCTACAATATAGCACGGTATTGCCTATGTTTCATTGTCGGTATCTCATATGTTTACACCTGTGTTCTCACTGTCTCTTCGATTAATTGTTAATGTTTAACTTGATTCTTAATTAACTGAATTATTAATTGAGAATTATTAATTGGAAAGTTTATTACAAGCGGAGCATATATATATATAATTCTTCTTCGCCTGAGTTGATCGTTGGTTCTCTATCAGTTTGTCTTATTGTTTGTGTTTCCGGTCACTTCACTACACTTCACTTGTCTACTTACCGAAACCGAAAATGAAACCGTAGCCATAACGATCGGTCGCCTAGGTTATGTGTGTCCCCACGACGTCGCCCCCATGTTACAGCAGTTTGTCCGACAGTGGTGTGTAAATTTCTTTATTATATTATTATTCTTATTAATTATATTATCTTCTATTTTTATTAGCACTCTTTATTATTATACATTATTACATTCCCGATTCCTGAGTAATTGCATCAGGGGCTGCTAAGAACTCTTGCGCAAGAAGCACAATGGTGAGCCACGCTGCGATAAACAATTGCCGTTTACTCTCCCTCTCGCGCTATTACGAGGGCCCGAGAGATCCCCGGCCGAGCCGGCCGGGAGATGCGTATTACACATATACGTTACATACAATAAATTGGAACCGCTATTATCCTGCAGTTGCCAGCATGAACTTGCTCAATGGTTTTTCGCAGTATATTCGCAGTATTCGCAATAACATCTTATATATTTGAATTCGTTATATATGAATATAATTCTCTAATCTTTATTTTGCCACCATGCAAGTGTGTTACGAGCTCTCCTGTTTATTCGAGTATACTCAAGACCAGGGATAGGTTTACATTTGTCACTCTTATTTGTTCGCCGCCGCGAATTATATTCCCGCGTCAAATCTCTTGCCTCGTTATCCGGTGGGATCGCGAATACCTCGCATACAGTATTTTTTTTTCCCGTTCAATTAAAAATTTCATTCTGCATGCTGGTAATTTGGCATCTCGATCTCTGTCGAATTGCGTTTGTTCTAATTACACAATGTGCCGTGCTGTAAATGTCAAATGTAAACCCAGCCTTAATGAGACAATAAGTGAAATATGACGCCAGTCATATAGTCTAATATAGTTATGTAATACATTGCAAAACACATAAAAATTTGTTCTAGGCTGGACACTTAAACTTACAATTCAGGGATCGCTCTTTGCAATAATTAGTGCATTATTTTGTAATTTTCATCTGTTAATACTGTTAATACTGATAGTTTTTATTTAACATTAACTTTGAAAATCATGTAAAAATCATATGTATAAATTTTATATATATATCTGCAATCTAATAACGATAATTTCTCGAGCCATGAAAATAAGAGTGCTAAGTATCGCATTGGACTGGCCTCACAGTAAGCCAATCGTTTCGTCTCTCGTCGAATGCAATTATAAAAAAGTAATAACTGTGTGAATTGTGGGAATGAAAGTAAATAGCTGGTTGTCCAATTTTTGCCAGAGACATATTATATATATACATATATATATATATATATGGCTATACATATATATATATATTTCTATGTGATTGTTATAATCTAAAGAGAGATATTTCGATCATTTAATATAACGAGAATAGCGTTTTTGCAATTTATCGAGTAAAACGTATAACTTTAATATATGTAAAATCAGTGAATACCAGTAAAGTACCGCGTGTTTCATTGATCGAAGTATTTTCCACTTGGAAGAGGAAGTTGAACAATGTCTAATGAGATTGTAAATTTATCAATAGGTGCACTTCTTTGCGAAGCATAAGAGATAACGAAGAAAAGGATTCTGCGTTCAGAGGTATGTGTCAAATGATCACTGTCAATCCGGCCGGCGTCGTCCCGGACTTCATCTTCTTCTGCGACGCAGTGGCGTCGTGGTCTGCGCCGAAGGAGGATCTGAAGGAGATGTTCCAGAAGGTAAAGCGACAGCTGACGAACTCAAATAGAAATATCATCTCAGGAGATAAATAAGCTGTCTTTCTTGATATTTCTTTTTTATATCTGTTTAAATTTTATTATCGTTCTATGCGCGTTGTATAAGTAAACATACAACTATAAATATATCGTATAAAGTGTGTTTTGGGAATTGAAAGAATTCATTTGTGCAGCGTTGATATAAATTGCTAGTTGGTGTCTAATCAAATTGGCTTTAATTATATTGAATTCATATCTGTACTTCAAATGTTGTAGTACACGGAGAGAATTTCCTTTCAAAATTTACCCTGAAAATCGTGTTAATCATGGGACAACATAGTATTTCGCCAAATTTTATGTGATTTCTTTTTCTGTGCACTACAATAAAGTTGTAGTACATATTAAAAAAAATAATGAAAATTACATAAAATTTCTCGAAATACTATGCTGTCCTACAATTAACGTGATTTTCAGGGTAAATTTTAAAATAAAATTTCGTATACAATCTTTTAAATTCCTATTTCAAATTCCTATTGCAAACATGAATACATTTTTATTGTATAATTGGCCTATTTTACCTTTTCCAAAATTTAAAGAAATTGTATTCTCTTGGCGTGATCTTATGATTATTATCTTGTGTTTAGATACTGTTCACTTTCAAAAACCAAGTGGGTGAGGAGAATTGGAAACGATTCTCCGATCAGTTTCCGCCGCAGCTGAGTGAGCGGCTCCACAACATGTACGGCGTCTGAACAGCTCCGCCTAAAAGCGGTAAGTTGAGCGATTTTCCTAAACACATCGTATTAGATCTACATAATTGTTTGCCTACAAACATTTAGCAAATCGATAGGATTCCTTTTCACTTGACGACTTGATGTTTGTCTTTCCAGAAGGCCGCGTAATGCAGCAGGCCGAACGGGGTTGGGCGGGAAACAAGGGGCGTTTGGGATGGGTGGGTGAAACCACGGCCTCTTCTCATCAACATCGTTGTCGTTACCGTGTCATCGTGGTATGTTATTGTGCTTTCGGGGAAAATGATAAGAGGTACGCGCGGTGCGTGCCTCTTAAAGTTTTGGCAGCCGGTCGGAGGCTGCCAAACGGAAGAGAACGAAGAGAAAGGGTGAAAGAATGTTAACGAGTCGAGAAAGGCAAGAACGACAAGAGATAAGCATTGGCCGAAAAAGTAAAAAAAAGCGTGGGTGGGCGGGGATGGGACTTATTTCGGGGTGGGAGGGAGGAATTTTGTGGGGATCACCGACTATTACATTTTGAGAGACGGAACGAGGTATATCCGCGTAACAGCAATCCCGGGCTCTTGATACCTCGGGTGTACGTGACGTACACGCTCTGTACGCTCCATTAGCGCTTTCATTAGCGCTACCGCGGTAACACTGAATACGAGAGTGTTACATTTATTCTCACGTATGTCAAAACGTGACACAAATGCTGGCGCCAACGGCCAACTCTGCCCCAGCTCTTTAACATAATTAGATATATATACATATATATAATATTATTGAGAGCAACCAACTCACAAAAAAAAAAACAGTTGGAACGTAAGAACTTAGCATAGATCTCACGTTATAGAGATCGCGCGAATACTGTGATCGAAAATTTATACGTTAGATATTGATCCTTCTTTTTTTTTCTCCTTTTTTTCCTTCGAGAGAAAGAGAAAGTGCGAAAGAGAGAGAGAGAGATAGAGAGAGAGAGAAACAGAGAGCGCACGGGCGCGAAAGCAAGAGATTATTCGAATGTGTTTATAGAGTTTTAGAGACAAGGTAGAACTACTTATTTGATAAATAAATATGATACAAGGTAGAATACGTTATTAGAAATTTCATAGTGTACAGAGGGTTTTTCGAGAATATATTGTATTTTTATACGTTGAGAAGAAAACAAACATACACATGATAGAACGCAGAAAGTGCCATTCCGTCGTTTCGAACCAAAATTTTTCTGCTTATTTTATTCTCTCCCTTGCTGATATTGTGATATTAGGTTTACGCGACAACTTTGTCATCATGTGTAAAACATTTCAAGTGTATGCGTGCATATGCATATATATACACATATACATTTATATATTATGCATCCTATTGTTATATGTATACGTACGTATACCAAACATGATACGATGTTTTAACTAGCAGACTTTTTGTGATTACTTTTTTTTTTTGTTAAACATATTAAATTAGTATCATATTAGTATTAGTGTAAATATAGATGGATACATTTTAGAATGGACGTTTTTGTTAATCATTATAATAGATTATTTCAAATCTTTGCCGGATCTATCGAAGTCTCTCGAATTGTTTAAAGTCATCGATCAAAAAAGGAATTTATTTAAAAAACGATTTACAGATACGATTCACAGAGCAAGCGAATCTATGACGTGAAATCTATGGCGATGTTAATTTTATTTGCGCGATATAATGATCTCGACAACTCATCTGGATAAAGAAATCTTGCGTTTAAATCGTGTTTTTTTTTTCAAAGAGAGAGAGAGAGAGAGAGAAAGAAAAAGAACACTGTCATTCCAGTCCCACTTGCTTGGGCCAGTTAAAAAGAAAGTAAGCAAGTCCTTTTTATCTTAAAGTGATGTGCGTTTTTATCTCGGTTGTTACTTAAGAAAAATGAGAAACAATTCTATAAATCATATTGTGACAAAAATATGTATTATCGACGATTGAGTTTATATGTGTATTCATCTCAGACATGAAGCTGCGAGATCCTTCAACAATGCGATATTTCTGAATAGTTTTACAACATAAAAGAAAGAGCTATGTTTTAATTTTCACCTACTCGCACACGCATCGAGACCAAGTGAGAGAGGAAGAAGATAAACGGAGGAGATGGCACAACGTGGACGAAGGGGGAAAAAAAAAGAAAGAAAATAACTGACCATCGTTAAAGTCGCTATTGTCAATCAAACATGAAATCTATCAATAAAAGATCCAACTGGCGGGAACCGAACTAGCGCAGGCGAGACGGACGTTTTCAAAACCAAAAAGAAAAAAAAGAGGGATTACATTGAAACTCCATTCTTTGTAGCTGCAAGACGAGAGTGGTAGATGCTCCTCGAAAAAAAATTGAAGAATTCAAGAATCAACGTACTGTCGAAGTACGACGCGACGATGAAGATATCTCCGCCTCATCGTCGCCTCGTCGATCAAGGAATTCCACATCGTTCTGTCGCGTTTTCACGGCACACGCGCGACAAGCCCCGCGCGCCGTTGCAAAAGCCTCTCTTTTTTTCCCTTCCCGCGAAAGGAAAGGGATCGCGCGCGCGCGGCGGACAGACAAATTTTCCGTGACCGCTCCTTGACTCGAATCCACACTCGTTCGTCAACTTGGCAATATAGGTATATGCATATGTATATTGTCATAATTTTATCCCAAAACTCTCTGGCCCCCCTCCTTGCCCTGCCTGCGCAATTTTTGTGATATTACTGTTTTTTATAATTACTTAAGAGCTTGAAAAAAGAGAAAGCGGTAACGGTACCCGGGCCACATGCCGCCGCTCGACGTGGGCTTTGAAAAATGAAAAATTCGCAGCCACATGTTTTTAATCCTTTCTTACCGCGGTACAAATGTAATATGTATGTATGTGTAAATATTGCATATATATATATATATATATATGTACACACGAAAATCGAAACGTTGTTATCACCTTACTTCTCGCCGAGTTATTATAACATTTAAAGAGTTCAATAACGGCTGACGCGAGACGATTTTTTACACACACACAAGTTACATCGTTCACTCTCCTCGATAGTTCCTAAGCTAGAACGGCCGATTTCGTCGGCGGTAAAACAATAGAGGCACTCAATCGTTACCGCCGATCCGCGGGTCCGCCGAAATTTCGAATTGCAATAGAATTTAGAGTGATATGCGCGTGATATGTCCTCCCGCGGTTGTAAATACGTTGTTCTCCTCTCTTTGACCTCGGTACAGTTTCGGCTACGCTCACGGTTGATATATTCACATCGATACGTTCCCATCTCCCGTCGAGAGACCATGTGGCTCGCGATTACGCATTACAAATAACGCTCGAAAAGCTCTCAGTCACGGTAAGATCGAGGTAATAAATTTATAAACGATTATAAAGTAACAGTGAGATGACGTCTATTTATACATAATTATTATAACTAAATATTGCAATGATAGAGGACTGAACAAAACGAAATAAAGCAAAAGGTGATTGATGCCGATCGATATCTGAAATTTCCAATCTTTTCTATTGTCAGTGAACAAAATTGAAGTGTGAAGACGTATGCGTGGAGAATACACACGTAGTAACAGGGTGATCGCAAGCGAAGAAAACGGTGGGGTGAAAAAAAAAAGTAAAAAAAAAAGGAAGGATATACGAGTAAATTAGAGCCGAGTAATAAGCGATGTGAATCGAAACTCGATAAACTCACAAGTAAATATATTGTTGTATCTTTATTGTTGTTGTTGCATGAGACTAGCTTAATAGACTGAGCCATACACGTGGTTAAATAACTATTAACATAATAATTCTTAATTAATACTATAATTATTGTAATTAATATATATATCTATATATACGGTGTGTATTATATTTAATCGTAATGAATCCTCGTGCGGGCAGCGTTCGGAGCGGAGGTTCCCGTCCTTTGGGATTCTATACCGATCATATTATTCCTATAATCATTGTATCAGTAGCCTCTTTGGCCTCAGGTGGCCGAAAATGCTTTCGAAGTAGCCAAGGTACCAAGGTATATACTTAGGACGTGTTAGTATACTTGGGTATGCGCTCACGGAGACACGTGTCAAGAGACCGCGGACATTCTCCTTGTAAAACGCAGTCGGGTTTACAGGCCACGATATTCACCGAGCAAACGCGCGGCATTAGATTATTAATACGACCTAGACTTAGACTTTACAATCATTATTACCGCACTTGGTATTGCGAAAGAAATTCTATATTATAGACGTGTATAGTTGTATACATATTCGCTCATTCCGATCGAGAAGCACGTGATGAATTGAAACGTGATTTCTGCGGAGGTGGAAAGGATCGAGAGAATCATTCTTTCAACCTCCCCCCTCCCAAAAAAAAAAAATTTTGTTCATCTCTCGATATCTCTTGATGTCGATTGATCGCGTCTTTCCCCTCTCAAAGGATCGGGACTCCGTGTGGGGCTGTTCCTAGTACCTGATTATCCTATCCTTTTGCGGCCACGGAAGGACAGTTCTGCCAAAATGTGCAAGTCGAGCTGCCGTTAGTTTGCTTTGCTATTTTCTCTCGCAAGCGCCGGCGAATTCCTCTGTCCAGTGTCGTATCACTCGATTAATAGAGTATATATATATATACATACACGGTGTTCTTTTTTTATTGTTGCATATTACCTTGACTGCCTAGTACTTAAGGGATAATCTATTCTAGCGCTCAGTAGTAACGTCGTCATGTGAGTAAGTTTCGCACGGAAAAAGAAAGAACACGGGACTACATTCTTCTGCTTTCCTACACGATGACACATTTTACGCCTGTCACAGGTGCAACGAAAGAGCGCTGCCCATCTCGGAAGAGCGATAGAAACAATTTCATACATGTATACTTCTTTATATGACTCTTTGACTATAAAATATAAAGGGTGTACGATAGACGGGATTAGCTGTGTACAAGATGTTGACCAGGACGATCCTTGATTTTTCTTCAAAATTGCACTTGTAATTGAAATTGTAATTTTAACTTTTTTTCTTTAACAATTAAAGTCACAAATTCACACGTGAGAATTCTGTGAATCAAAATCATACACGTAAAATTGAACGATTAAGCTGCAAGTTTCTGTTACAAAACGAGACTAAGAATTCCTCGGGGGAGGTGGGGGGGGGGGAGAATTGTCAAAATTTAAGTGAAAATATCCTGTACGCAGTTAAATCGGGCGTCATTATTGTTTTAAATCGACATATGGCAATTGCACAACAAACTCATCATCATCTTAAGGCTGAATGTACACACACACACACACACACATTCGATAATTGTATTTTATATAGCCTCGGCAATTTTTCGTCTTAATTACAAATCGTTTTCTCTCCGAGCGCGAACTCATTATTGTAATCGAGCCGGATGGCTTTACCATACTTTATAAAGCGTCATGTAAGCGCGTGCAACCATTCAATTCGAGTATCGCGGTTCCATCCGTTCGGACGGCGGACCGTTGACGGAGAGCGAAGGTTGTAGAATTATAAGGTTCAATTGCTTGTTACGAACGTGTTTACGCGAACACTCTATCTTGCTTCCTGCCGCCGAGACCTTTCTTCCGTTAATTAACTGTCCGAATCCGTATGCTGTTTGCGAATCACAGGTATATGCACGCGCGTGAAATCTCATCACAGTTCATATCCGGGATTGAAACCGGTAGAACTTCGTTGGCTTCGGATTTCCATGCTATAGATGCGCGAAACTGATCTCTCCCCGTGGATGTAATGACGAATGATGTAAGTCAATTTTTCGAAAAATACTTAAATGTAAAGTCTCTCCTCTCTAGCTAATTTAGGATTGTAAGTAATTTAATAGTGATACTGCAGATATCGTAGTAATATTAGTAAGGATATTATAATATTAGTAAAGTAAAAGAAAACTAGACTGTTATAGAGTGAAAGTTATGTTTCTGTAAAGAGACAATCTAAAACTATATATATTACGCCCGATTATAATTGCGTGTGAGGGAAAATTGTATCGAAATTTTTTTTTTTTAATTTCTAAATGGCTTTTTGCGTGTCGAGCTTTGTGTCTATAGCATCAAGAATCAGGAACATTGAAATTATACCGGCTTCAATTCTCGCTCCATATTGCGCTCGTTGTCTTGGTTTCTCTGTGCGCCCCGTGACATTTCATTCGAAATAAATCTTGACGAAGTATCGAGCACCGTTACGAGTCTTCTTGTAAATGAAGTCTATCCTAGTTTCATTTCGTTACACTTTTCTTTTTGATATTGTTCTTCCTTTCTTTTTTTTTGTATTTATAGGACCGAACATCTACATACCATCTGAGATTATTTCGTAATTCTTCGATCGATTTCCTATCCACAGTAGTTTTTTCTTTCTGTTAGTCATCCTACGATTATACATTTCTTTGCAGAATTCACACCTGTAATGCGAGACATGATTTTTGCAACCGCGTAAACGAGGTGAGTATAGGAACTAGTAATAATTAGCATTTGCGTTAAATGGCAATTAAAACTGTTTAATGAGTGTTCGCCATGTCAGAAATCGGGATTTATCAAATAACCGTGAAATTTAATTCCTTCACGTTACAATTACGGCCTTCGGAGACATACGTTTTCACGTCTTGTACGTCTTAAGTTATCACAGTTCCCGCGACATTATTTTCGTGAGAATGAAAGATGACCTCCGGTTCCGGCATTCGAAACGGTCTCTTCTTTCCGGTCCGCGCGCTATCGAGGAGATAACGATCTCGCGTTACAAATGATCGGGGGCTGTTCCCGGAGGAGCGATTCGGATCGGCGAGCACGGGACCACGCTTCCGTGTCCTATTCGCTCGCGTCCCGTCGAGCACTCCCCCGAGTGAGCCGTAAAAGCGTATCGGCGCGGAGTCACGCAAATAAAACCGTATCGTATCCCGTACGGCACACCGGGTATATGGCGGGTACCGGCTTAAGTGATTGCTTCTCTTCATTAGAGCTTCGGGCTCGCCTCCCTACCCTCCCTCTCGCGAAGTCGAAGTTGAGGGACAGGTGTGGTAATGGCCCGTATCCGAGCTCTCGCTTAACCCACCCCTGCAACCGTCAGTCGATTTAGCCTCCTACCCACCCCTCCCCTTCGAGCCATTCTCTCCCCCCCCCTCCCCCTCGGAACTATTACGCGAATTGATTCCGCATCGGGATCTGCCCGGAGGGGGCGGAAACTCGCGTTTAGCTCCTCGTTTCCTCCACTTTTTCCCCCCCTCTCTCTCACTCTCGCTCGACTTTATCGCTCCTCTTTTTTTCTTATCGCCGGCGCGTGACCACCCTCGGTCCATTTGCGTGCATCTCACCCTGTCGTAAAGGCGCGGACTGCATTTCCCGGATTATCGACTTCCATCGGAGCTCGTGGTGTCGGGAAGGGTATACGTGGATGATCGGCGCGCGAGTCGATTAATTCGGTAGAAACACCCGAGGTTCTTATGGCATGAATGGATGCTGCGTTTAGAATCGGGCTTGCGACTGCTTTCGCAGAAACGACGTGCAACTGGAAAAGAACGATTAGAATCTATATTTTACGTGACGAAAAACGAAATGGCGAATTCATTGGTTATTAAATAAATTGGAAACACAAATGAAAGACTGTGTGATCATGTCTAAGATAAAATAACTTCATAGTTTGTAATGCGGCTTTATAAAAAGATGGACCTTCCAAATTGTTATACGCTCTTAACGCTCACGTGTGGTATTGTTCGAATCAAAGCTCCAGTCCTGTCATCCAGACGGTATAATCTCTTTAGATATATATAGAAATGTCGTAAATGGTGTCCTGATGTGCGACCAGTTGTACCACGGCCTGTTTAATTCAACGCGCATTTCGGGACGTTTAGCGTAGGAGAATCAACTGGCGGCCAATCGAACCGGTAATTTCTCTCGCGAGATAAACAGCATCTAGCAGCAGGTCTACGATATCGCGATTTATAGGCAGTTGGTCGGTGTAGTATACGCCACCATGCGCGTATCGCATTAAATAATAATGCCAGTGATTGCTGTTGGGTGCCCGCCGAGGCAAAGTGCAAGCTACAAGAACGGCAAGGGGAGGCACGGCAGAGGGGTAGAACGGCGGCGGAACGGCGAAGACGCTGCCTTTACACCCCCGCCAGATATATCATCGCCTGGCAGTTATGTGTGTCATGAATTTTAGATTATCCTTGGATTAGATTAAGGCACGCGGGGGCCGGAAAGAGCAAGCGGCCCCTTGGCCCGCCAGTCAGTGCGCGGGGCTGAATTATTTCCAAATCTCGCGTAGCATCCGTCCCTCCCACCCCATCCCCTCGATCGCGCCACCGGAATTGCAGGATTGATCTGTTGCCGCGAATTTTTCGCCGATGATCCGGCCAGGGACGGTAGTCTTCAGGCTGAACAATAAAATCATTTAACAATAAGAGACATGCAATCAAGTTCTATTTGAAGGAAATCTTTGACACCGTAAAAGAAATTTGTTAAAAAAAAAAAGAGGTGATTCGTGTTTTAAGTAGATTATAGTTATTATATCGAAAGTTTTTCATTTTTTTTTTTAAATAAAAGTATTGAGAATTATGAAGTCTATCTTAATCTTTTAGAAACATATTTTTTTTATACTATCTTATTACTTATTCTTTTTTTTTTTTAATAATATTATTGCTATTATTTTTACGTTCCGATCTTATGCAACGTCCTCAAGAAATCTCGACGAATCATTCCCCCCTCCCGCTCCCCCTCGCGCATTTCTCGATTATTCCCCGTTTCATCCCCTCTGAGGAGACGAGAGGACGGAGATAATTGATGATGGTAGCTGGTTTTCGCGGGACATTATATCGCAGTTACGAGTTTCCGTCCCCCCACCTCACGCGCTACGAATGCGCAATGTGCGAACAACAGGATGCCGCTATAGTGGGGAGAATACCCCGGGGGTGGTTCCCACCTCTTGCTGCTGGCCCCACGTGACCCCCGGCCAGACAAACGACGGCCAATTTACGAGCAATAGGAAAAACTTCTTAAAACTCGGGATTAAAATGAGCGAAGGGGGAAGAGATGGGAGCATCCCTCGGCGCCCTCCGAATTATCCCGGGGTATACGAGAGGGTTTTATTTTATTCCGGAGAGCGTCACCAGAGGTGGAAGGGCGAATACGGCCCTTGGCCCTGGCCTTGCGCTTTTATTATTATCTCCCTGTCTGTGGATGAGGTGGAGCGTCATTATTTTTATCGTTACCCGCGAACGTTATAGTTGGTAAAAATTATTGTTACTGCTTATTTTCCGTTTGTTGCTACTACCGTTAATGATCGTCGCTAAAATAACCGATAACCCGGTTAGATCCATCTTTATATTGTTCCACGTAAAGTGCTTGAAAACCTAAAAAAAAAAAATCAAATGTATTTAAGTAAAGAAAAATTATTAAAATTATAAATCTTCTAGTGGAAATATCTTGGTATTTAAGATTTCGATAATTGCGACCTATAACTAAAATATAAAGATCAGATGTGTTCAATGTTGCACGTCCCTTCTAACGTTCTTGCTCGTCCTTTACGAGAATTGACGGGGGGGGGGGGGGGGAGAAGGACACATTTTCACGTCCGTCACTCCTCTGAGACTAAAGAATTATTAGATAACAATTCAGCGCAAATCGCTAAATCAATTACACGGGCAGTTGAATCGGCGCGTTCATCGATTCGTCGACCTCTTTACATAAACAAATCGCCTCAATCAATTTGACTCTTTTAACAGTGAGATGAATTTACAAACACAAGTGACGTCGGTCTCATACATTTCTTCTCTAACAGATTATTGTACAGAGTGTCTCTGAATTCAAATTTTAATGCGTGTATATACAGCAGATAATGAATTATATCACATTCCATATATATTCAAAAATATCGCTTTACAATTGAATTAATTCTAATCCAATAAAAATCTATTAATCTATATATATTAGAAAATTACATCGTGAAAAATTTGATGCCATGTTTATGAGACCGTAAGTCACCGTTGCAGAATGAATTCTGTGGCCGTAAATCGACTAAATTATGGACCTCCGTTTTTTTTTTAAATATATACAACACCCATAAAAACTTCGGCGTATATGGATCGTATACGTTGAAGCGGTCGCGCTGTGCGCCGGCGTTCTTTTTAATTAGAGTCGCTAATCAAATCACGGCCACGCGACGTTGCTCCGACCTATCGACGCACGCGGATGGGACGATAACGACGCCCCGGGGATGGCCGGAATAAATCCGTGTTAACGTGATTACAACCCTCCTCCGAGATGCATGATTGATTTATCCGCGAAAATGCACTGGAAGACGTTTTCATCGCGATTTGATATAGCGGGTAAACTTCAGCAAAGTATAGTATTCCCGATTACGGTAAGCGCTATAGTATATCCCGTGCTATACACACGACGGTAACATTTAACACCAAGAATTCTGCCCCTCCCCCCTTTCCTCATTCCTATTATTCGTATATATTCGAGGTTTGATATCGTAAAAGTCCCTTATATGTTCCCGCTAATGAATCGATGAGAAACAAGACCCGCGTCCTGCGATTTACGCGGAGATTTATGTAAGTCGAACGAATTCCGGACTCGAGGAACGTGCGATTTTTGGTGCGCGCCTCGTCCGGAGGATAAGGGGTTCCGGGGACAATAACGGCGCCCCGGGGACGACCGGGGTAACGCGATTACGCGGCGCGGCACTGGCACGGCGCGGCACGGCCACCGCTCGAGCGGTTCGCCCGGCTTGATTTATCCGCGTAGCCGCGCGTTATTGCATTAGCGCCCCGACGGCGATGCTGTCCGCCCCGTTCCCCGCGCACGGCTCGCCGGCGACGAACGCGAGAAATCGCCCGGCGTCCGTCCACCCGCCCGTGAATCATCTACGAGAGTTATGTCTTGCAAGCCGCTGCCAGGACGCGGCGATCTATAATTCCCGCCCCGCGGTTGGTCAGCGATCCTGGCGCGTCCCGGAAACTTCCCGTGTTCCCTCGTGGATTAATATCGCCGGATAAGAACTGTTGCGACCGAAATCTATACCCTTGGATAACGACGTACGGCCCCTTTTAACGTACGCGGATGGTCAGTGGACTCGCGGGCACTTCCCGAAACCTTCCACCGTGGACCAATACCGGCCCGCGGAATCTCGACTCTTGCGAACTTAAATCTGTTCTTGGAGACGACTCTTAAAATCCTTTTTCACTCAGTCAGTGCCCCCGATGTTTCTCACACATATTTTCTGGTCGGCAAAAATCGCGCGCGTGAAACATAACGTTAACAAAATGTATATCTTATCGAAATGCGCTTTTTACGATTTTCTATGTGTAATTCATCAAAGAACTTGGAGGACTCTCTTGCGCACCTTGGCATTTCCCACGTTGACGTGTTACATTTCGATAATCTCCGTTCCGTTTAAATGTGCCTCCACACGCGTGCAGAGCGTATACGCAGAGTTAACTTCCGCTCCGTACGAACGCCCGCTAACTCGAGAGATGAGAACTGGTTCAAGAATCGGTTGACGACAAACTTTACATTAATGTGTCGCCCTCCTCGTCGATGCTGATTAAACTTCGCGGTTTTACATCACAGTTCCTCGACACAGGGTAACGCTAATCGAGATGCAGGCGAGACTCCCCGCGATGCTTCCTGTATACATTATGTATGTTACACGTCTCCCTCTCGCCTCTCCTTTACTTTTATACACACTTGACTTGTCCTTTGTACTTCCCAGACCCTTCGGCATCGTCGCGGATGAAGGGATGCGCGTGTATCGCATCTTTTATAATATTCTATATACGCGAGCGAGTTCCTGCACAAACAACGACAAGTGCAACTTGTAATTTCAACCGTGTCAACAAATAGCTGCAACGTTTCTAACGTCAAAATGTTACAAAGAGAAAAAAAAATTTCCTGAATTCGAGTTTAAAGTTTTCGTCGAAGAAAAGCTACAGATTTTGTCCGTTTATAGAGTCCTAATGAACGACGTTAGCCGAGTGAATTCACTTTGACATAAGATAATCCTTCCTACTACGGCATCGAAAATTGAAATCACCGCGATCACAATGTCGGTCCACTATGTCAATCCTTCTTTCGCGCGTAGCTGTGAGTCACATTTCGCGACGAGAGAGTGCAGATCCTCTCCGAACCCGAGTGTACTCACCGTCACGACAACTCGCATCTCTTCATCCTAATCGAGTCCCTCTTCGTCCGAGACGTATCGCACCGCGGATCTTACGCGGGCCTGTCGAGCCCTAAGGCCTCCTGGTGCCGTCTCGCCTTCAGCCTAAGGTCCGCGATGCTGCTGTTCTTCGAGCGAGCCGCCGCGGCGGCCAGCGATGCTGCGAGGCTTAGCGGATGAGGAGGATGACCGGTCGACGGCGCCGGGGGCGGCGGCGGCGGCGGCGGTAAACAGAAGAGGCCCCCGGCCGCCGCGTAGTGCAGCACTGCCGGGTCAAAGGCCGATCCAACCGTGACACTTGCGGCCGTTCCTTGCATCGGCGGCGGATGCAACCTGAGGGCTGGCAGGTAAGGCGCAACTCGACACGACTCCAACGTCGTCGGCGGGCTGCGAGGCGCCAGCACCATGCTCCCGGCGACGCCTGTGAGAAAATTCAATTAGAGTCAATTAAATATATTAATTATTAACGAGAGAGAGAAAGAGAGAGAGAGATAGAGGGAGAGAGAAAGGAAGAGTCCATTCAATTTTTTAATCACGCACGAGATGTAGAATTATCTCACTATTATCTAATATTATTCTTTGCCCAATTCGGTAATCATTCGTATCACATAGAAATTATGGCCATTTTCTATTGTTAATTTAATTAGTTAAAGTATATACTACTATATATGTTTTATAATTTAAACTTTAATTAGATAAATTAAAGTTAGAAAATTGATTTATAGACTAAAAAGAGAATGGAAAATATGAATTCAATTATAGAGTCAATTAAATATATTATTAAATAATTATTAACTATTAAATAATTATTAATGAAAGAGAGAGAGAGAGAGAGAGAGAGAGAGAGAAAGGAAGAGAGTCCTCTCAATTTTTTAATCGCACGAGATATAGAATTATCTCACTATTATCTAATATTATTATTTGCCCAATTCGGTAATCATTCGTATTACATAGAAATTATGGTCATTTTCTATTGTTAACCATACTAGTATATATTACTGTATATGCTATGTTTTATAATTTAATTAAAGAATTGATTTATAGACTAAAAAGAGAATGGAAAACATGAAGGTGCGCTATGCCTGATATATCATATGCGCTTTCGATCGCACGTATTACCTTTGTGCAATTGGCTCTCGTGTTTACGACACTTGGCACGTCGATTCTGGAACCAGACTTGTACCCGCGCCTCGCTAAGACCGAGCCGCTGGCTCAGCTCCTCCCTCATAAACGCATCGGGATAGTGCGTCTCGTCGAAGAGCCTCTCGAGCTCGGCCAGTTGCTCGATGGTAAAGTTCGTCCGCGATCTCCTCTGCTTGCCGTTGCCACTTCCGTTGCTCCGGCAATTGGATCCTACAAATTAAATCATTGTTAATTCGTGCAAATGTGGAAAAGCGTTACGTAAAATTATTAAAAAATTATTGTACACAGAGAGAATTTCCTTTTAAAATTTACTCTGAAAATTTTGTTAATCGCGAAACAACATATATAGTATTTCGACAAATTTTACTATACGCTACAATAAACTTTACTGTGCACTGCAATAAACTTGTAATATGTGTTTAAAAAAATAGTGAAAATTGTATAAAATTTCGTCGAAATACTATATATGTTGTCCTACGATTAACTTGATTTTCAGGGTAAATTTTAAAATAAAATTCTCCCCGTGTACGCGCTTCTACGGGATAGTGTCTCTTTAATTGCAATGATTATATAGTAAAATGATATATCATTACGGCGTAAAGGGATGAGTTTTTTTCTTTCCTCGCTTCTTAAGGAATGCTCCCGATGAAACACAGAAATTCAAGCGCCGTGAGTCATCGTCGGAGAGATACGTGCGGCGGGTAACAGGGTGGATTTCGTCGCGCGATGATTAATTCACGGGGACAAATGCGCGCCGCGAGCCAGAACGACCGGGGCCGGCCGGGGAGAGCGACCGAGGTCCCACTACCTATACCGAATTGATCCTCGCGAATACGTTCACGGGCCATTTCTTCCAGTCTGGGCGCCATCAACATTTATCTCGCCACCTTATGAGAATCCTATTCAAATCAAGACGGCCGGCCGGATCTCTAATTGGATGACATTAGAGCGTGTATCTCCCGCGCGCGTGAGAGAGTTATCTCTTTTAGCACGTCGAGGAAAACCGTAAAAGTATAAGCGCATATACACCCGATCCGCGTGACGCAGCGCGGATGTATATATAGTATACCGATGTGTATAATCCGCGGAAAGTTAAAGTTGCGCACACAGATTGCGGGATCGCGTCGGGGGCGCATCTTCACGCGGAAGATTCCATCGGACAGATGCAGAAAGGCAGGAAGGAGGAGGAGGAGGGTGATTAAGGTGAGAGGATACGGGCTCGACCTGCCCCC